AAAGTAAAGTTAAATCCAAAATGAGCGAAGTAAAATGAAAATCAACCTACAACTTGGAACCATTAAAGACCCTTATTAAAAACCAAAACAAATCCAAACTTGATGTTAGCTTCACATATAATTATTAGCATAAATAATTAAAGTAGAAACACATTGTAACTAATATAAACTAGCATGATTCGCTCTTCACTCGTGCCCCATCATGAATATGCCTCAATACCTGAAAAGCTTATCTCTACTTGTCTCCACTACTCTCCATTAAAAATGGGTCATCATAGGGCTAAGATAAAGACATGGCCAAAACACACAAACACACAATCAGCAAAGCCGAGTACATAAGCGTAATTAAACACATTAACATGCTTTCATCTATCAACACACACTTACCTCATTGCACCTGTTCACAAGCACACACACCAATCAACAAGACACAATGACTAGACACTAATTAATTCATTTTGCATTGATTACGCATCGAACGGGTTTCCACCTCCTAACCTCCCCCAAATAAATTTGAGGTTAACTAGCACGGGAGCTAACCGTGCGAGTGACAAAACCACACAAAGGTGGCGGAATTCCTGCGCATAATAATAAATAATAAAAAAGGAATATACAACGTCCTGTACTCCATTAGAAGTTATGGTTAAATATAAAACCCCATAACTCCCCCCATTGTTCATACTCAAGGTATATACGTTCTAAGAGTTTTGGTGCGTAATCTCTTTCACTTTACGTTATTTACAGGTTATTAGACTTGGTGATGACTCTCAAAGCATAATAAGTCAATCAACAATAATTATACAATCAAACAAACATACCAATTTAATTATTGAATAATTAGTGACCACATATTATTTATTGTTGAACCCTTTTTAATTCTACCTCAGTGTCAAATATACCTTAAACGCATAAAGCGCCAAAAATCCTATCCCTCGGTGTTAAAAACACCTTAAGTGCACAAGGCACCAACATACAAAGTATTCCTTGTGTACGTAGACACTTATATAGCTCCTTCCTCATGCTTAAAGCATCAGTAAAAATTATATGAACCATAATAAAATTCCTTTTCAATATTCCAAACCAAATTAAACAATTAGTTTAATTAAACATGCTCTCTATCATTCCATAAATAAATATGTGGTTCACAAACAATATTTCAAGCTATTATTTTCCATTCAATAATCCATCACAAATAAATCATGCTTCGTAATCCAATCACCGATAACATCCAAATCACAATTTTCATTCCAAACCTAGCATGATATTACTTATAATCAATCACACACATTTAGCATGCTACTACATTACTTAATTATGCTAAGTACGCGAACGTACCTCAATTAAGCTCTTAAAATAGCCGAGTACTCTACAACAAAACCCGAATCAAGTCTCCTACATAAAGGGACAATAATAGTACATTAATTACCCTTGTATTCACAATTTCCAGCAACTTAAATTCACTTTAGATTGCTTAAAATAATCTGAAAATTATAGTAAAACCCTTAATTAAACTTCTCTTTAATGGATAATTAAACTCTTTTTATAAACACAATTATACTACTTTATACAAAATTCCAGCATTAATACTTTGTTAAAAACTCCTTAAAAACTCATTAAAATCATATCTTTATACTTGGTTAATAATCGAAATAAATGGGTATTCAAAACCCCCAAATTAATTAGTGAAAGAACCCTAAAAAAAAGCCATCTTTAACATTTTAAAATCCAAACCATATAAAGTATGAAATATGAGTAATAAAATCAAACCAATAATCTAAAATTTTAGATTATTATCATCAAAATATAGAATTTGATACTAATTAAACAAGTTTTAATAATAAAAATCCAAACCAATACTAATATGTATAATTATACAAATTAATGAAATTAAACCAAAAGAGGAGAGATGAGAAAGGGATGATGATGATGACGGTGGCAAGGGCGGTGGACGGCCAGCAGCCGACAGCTGGTGGGTGGCTGGGCGGCGCCGACTACGGCGGGTGGAAGAGCAGCAGCCGTGAATAAAAGGGGAAAAAAAAGAAAAAGGAGAAGGAAAAGGAGGAATAGAGGAAGGGGGAAGGCCGTGGCTGACCATGGTCGCCGGCAGGTGGCCGACCGGTTGTTCCCGGCGGTGGAAGCCGTGAGGTACTTCCATTCATAACCCACCAAAATTCCATGTTAATGGAAAGCTACGGGAAGGAAGGAAAAGAAAAATAAAGAAAAGAAAGGAAGTAAAAGAAAAAGGAAAAATTAAGAAAGAAAAGTAGTGCCTTTGACCATTTGACCTTTTTGGGTGGTTAAATTTTGGGGATTCAAGAGCTATTTATAATGTAGGGTAAATTATTGACATTTGGGCTTATATGAGATAATACAAGGGGGAGATAATTCGCCCAATAAATGAAAGAATGTTTGGACTTGTTGTAGACATAAGTTGTAATTATAGAATAGGTATTGATCAATTCAAAACTCATTTTAATTAAATCCCGTACTTAAAATAATTTGACTCAAAAGATATATATATACATAAATAAATAAATAAGTGAATACAATATAAAATATATAAAAAAATACGGGGTATTACAATTAGAGACCATGGTAAGCATTTCGACAAATTTTTTTTTCCGAGCGAAAAAGTAAAAAAATTCCAAAGTTGAAGACTAATATCCACACTTTTTGAGAAATTTTGGAGGTTTCAAGGCCCGGTGTCGAAAAGCCTTGAATTTTTAGGGGATTTATTTCGGGGTCATTTATGCCCATTTATAACGATATATGATCATTATTTGTTATCATAATTGTTCGTGGTAGGCTTGAGTTAATGAAATAGGTGCAAGTTGTGAACCGGTAAATTGGTCGTTTAAAGGCAATTTGGATGGTTTCTCCCACCCAATTGGACTTCCGGAGGGTATTAGGTACCATGGTAAACTTTTCGTCAATTTTTATTTACGGGCGAAAAAAAGTCAAAAAATTCCAAAATTGAAATCCATGTTTTTTGAGAAATTTGGGATGTTTCCAAGCTTGGTGTCAAAAAGTTTTGAGATTTTAGGGGATACATCTCGGGGTCATATAATGCCGTTTGGAACCATATATGATCATTATAGGTTGTCATAAATGTTCGTAGTAGGCTTGAGTTAATTAAATCGTTGCAAGTTGTAAACCGGTAAATTGGTTGTTTAAAGGCAAATTGGATGGTTCCACCCAGCCAATTGGACTCCTGAACGGTATTAGGGACCATGGTAAAAATTTCGGCAAATTTTATTTTCGGGTAAAAAAAGTCAAAAAAATTCCAAAATTAAAGGCTAATATCCACGCTTTTTGAGAAATTTTGGAGTTTTTTGAAAGAGCTGTCGATTCGGTTAAACGGGTCGTATTTAGGTCGGTAAGAGTGGGTCGGGTCAACTCAGGTCGATTCAATTCGGATTAATTCAATAACTTATGCGGGTCGAGCTTGGGTTGGTTCTTGCTTGGGTCGGGTCATACTTTTTATTGGGTTTAGGTCGGATTTAGGTCGGCTTAATAACAAGTCGGCTTACATTCGGGTCGGGTGAACAATAGGTCGGATTTAATTCGGGTTTTCTCGGGTTAGGGTAATTCTCGGGTTCGAGTCGGGTTTGGTTCAAGTCAATAATTTGCGGGTTATAATCAGGTCGGGTCATTTTCAAGTCGGGTCAGTCTCGGTTTCAAGTTGGGTTTGGTTCAAGTCAATAATTTACGGGTTATAATCAGGTTGGGTCATTTCCAAGTTTAGGTTATTCTCGGATTCAAGTCGGGTTATGTTCAAGTCAATAATTTGGAGGTAACAATCAGGTCGGGTCATTTTTAAGTTAGGTGTTATTCAGGTTCAACTAACTATAAATAGATAATTATCTTTTTTGTCAAGGTAATTATTTCCTTTGACTATAATATATATGACATTAATATTGGGAACTATAGTCTATAATTTAGGAAGATAATTATCTCCTTTGACCATACAACAAATATATACTATATTTAATTCTTAAATCTGAGGGTGATGTTCCTTTCTTTTCCTGGCCTGGACCGACTTGTTCTCCCCAGAAAAAATGCTCTGATCAACAATTATAAGGTGGTCTAAATTGCATTTAAGGTGATTTGAAATCGAGTCAGGAACAATTTGGTTTGAATTTAGGTCGGGATAATACCAAGTCGTATTGATTTCGAGTCGGGTTAGTAACAGATCGGGTTGAGTTTTTTGGTCGGGTTAGTAATAGGTTTGGTAAAATTCGGCTCGGGTCAATAACAAGTCGGGTTGATTTCGGGTTGAGTTTGTAACAGGTTGGGTTAGGAGCGGGTCGGGTTGAATTCACGTCAGGTTAGTAACAAAAGAAGTCTGGGTTAAATTCGGGTTTTGACGGGTTAAAATGGGTTTGGGTCAATTTTGGTTCAAGTCGGGTTTTGTTCAGCTCAATAATTTACGGGTTACATTTAGGTCGGGTCATTTCCAAGGTCAGTTCATGTTCGGGTTCGGGTCTCACATATTCGGGTCAACTCGGGTTTAGGGTTGGTTTCAGGTCGAGTCAAGTCGGGTTTGGGTCACCATTTTTTCGGGTTCAGATGGTTCGGTTAATAATCGGGTTTGAGTCGGTATTTCGGGTCGGGTCAACTTTTGACAGCTCTAGTCATATTAGATCTAGAATAGTGAAACCATAAATTGGATAGCATAGTGAAACCATAAATTGGATAGCATTTTACTTGTGGCTTCTTGGTGCTGTCGTTATTAGATCATGGTCATTTGAATATTGGAATTTATTGAAAGACAGTGAGTGATGAAATATAATCTACACTACAAGTTTGTAGAGTGTGATAGGTATATATGCTTGACTGATTTTTTGGCGGTCACAGTAAACATATCTTTAAGGTATCTTTAGTTAGAATGACGCTTGTAATTTCTTCTGTTGTTTCGTTAGGATTTTTCCGCCCCTTTTGGTTTCTTATATCTGTTCTTTCCTGATCATGTCTCATCAATTGTTTTGTTACTTATGCAGAGGGATAAGATCGAGGAAGCTTTAAAGCTGGCTCAATTATCGGCAGAAAAGCCCCATTTCTCCCATTGTCTTGAGTGGCTACTTTTTACAGTATTTGAAGCTGAGATTTCAAGGTACTTTAGTCTGTGGAAATTATAACCCCAAATCTTAGTTGTACATGTGTATGTCATACTACGGAGTATTATATATTTATGCTGTAGTTACACAACTGTTTCCCCTGATTTGGTTATAGCTGTATAAGTTAAATATATAGTATGTATTAAATTAGAATGGAGCTTTCTCATACTTCTTCATTAATCCTTTTTAGTGGAGAATTTGGGTTTTTTATATGCACTTTCCTATAAGTGACTCTCAAATGTCGTGACCAATTTTTTTGGTTAAAGGGATTGAGAATATCTTTAATATCTCTTCCCAACTTTTGTAAGCAGTAGGTACATTATATACCCCTCTATGAATTTTTGGTGCATATGTCACTGGAAATTCGAGTTATACATATAGCCAGATTTAAATTCAAATAGTTAAGGACAGTTTGTGATACGTTAAATTTGTAACTCAAAGTTTGTAAAGTTATACCAATAAAATAGGGCCTATGCTTTTTTTTTTTTTTTTCTCTTTTTTTGGAATATGTTTTATTATTGAACCTAGTACTACAAGTCTACAACCCATGTTATACTGTTGAATTTTTGTTGTTGCAGTATGCTCTGTTTTCCTCTGTTATACTGTTTGGCTGTGTTAAATTGTCTCAAACATTTCTTTGCAGGCAAAACGTGATTAAAAACCAGAAGGCAGTCTCCATTCAAAAGCCTGAATCTCTTTTGGAGAAGACATGTGACTTGATCAGAAATTTTCCTGAATATCACAATGTTGTAGTGAGTGTTGCTAGGAAAACAGATGGTCGACACTGGGCGGATTTATTTTCTGCAGCTGGTAGATCAACAGAGTATGCACCTTCTGTTATTGTTCAATTATCCTTTGGCTAACATCCAGTGAATTTATATTTGGTTATTAATTAATTTTTGTTTGATATTGTTTACAAAATTAGAAGACCACATCCTATTAAGTAGAAACCAAAACCCTTCAAAATGTGAAATTTGCATCAGCCTTGGAGCAAGGCCCAATTTTTAGGAATGGGCTCATTTACATCTCATTCTACTTTTTAGTGCTTCATCAAAAGCATAGATCATTATGTAGACATAACTCCTTGTAGGTTACCTACCAACTCTATTAAAAACATCCTACATCACTTCTTAAAATGCTCCAATAAGAATACATTGTCTGCAACAGGCAAGATCATCAATAAATCAAACATTAGAATTCAATTACTATTCTGTTTATCAGCCTGGTAACCAAATAGCTGTAAGGCTAATTTGTTACAACTATTTTGCACAGGTTGTTCGAGGAGTGCTTCCAGAGAAGATGGTACCAAACTGCAGCTTGCTATGTTCTTGTAAGTTCATTTTTGGTTTTATACAATAATTGTTTACTTTTGCATAATTTTGTGGTTTCGAAGAAATTCTTTGAGGAATCTTCTTGTTTTGTGGAATCAAGGTGCTCTCTTGTCCTATGTTACGACTGTAAGAAATTATATTGTGCTTGTTTTTTGGAGCATGCTTCTCCAAACCTCTTCTTTATGGAAAAGCAGTCTTACTTTCAATGTACACATTTATTGTTTTGTAGATTTCAAATTCCTTGTTTTTGCATCTCATACATGTTAACTTTTCTTAGGTCATTGCCAAACTTGAAGGTCCTGCTGTCAGCCAGTACTGTGCCTTGCGCTTGTTACAGGTACTTGAAGTGGAATTCTATCAATAATATATATTTTTTTCTTCACCTTACCGTCAAGTGTCACCCCTCTTTAACTGATTGGGAACCTTTTTACCTTGCAGGCAACTCTTGATGATTCTTTGTATGAACTTGCTGGGGAATTGGTAAGTAGTTTGAATCGGCTGTTACTTTTACAGAGCTCATCTCATCTCGCCTCTACCAATTTCCACAATTCTCTTTATTCTGAAAAAACGCTAAATAAAAAACTGCATTTCAGGTGAGGTTTTTGCTGAGATCTGGAAGAGAGTATGAGCAGGCACCGACTGAAGAAGGGGTTTCACCTAGATTTTTGGGTTTGTTTCTTTTCTCTTCAAAGAAGCAGCCTTTTGATTCCAAGAGGTAATGTACTTATCTTACATCCTTGTTGTTTAGTGTTTGATTCAGAGTTGTTTAAATTTCTGAGTGAGGCTGTTACTTTTGGTGCAGCAGCTCACATAAAGAACAAAGTGCTCATGTCACTTCTGTTAGAAATATTTTGGAAAGCCATGCTAGCTATTTAATGTCAGGGAAGGAGCTGTCAAAGCTTGTTGCATTTGTGAAGGGCACTCAGTTTGATGTGGTGGTGAGTGAGCTATGGTGTTTATTACAATATAGTTAATTACTATTTACTTTATCATTTGCATTTTTAATGTTTACGGCTTCTTAGAGCTTACTGTGCCAGACTTAAGTCATTAGTCAATGACTCAATGCCTGATCCACTCTTCTGTTTCTTGTATGTTCTGTTTATTATGCTGCATATAATTTTTGTGACTTGCATTTGAACAGGACTTCCTCCAACGAGAAAGATACGGATGTGCTCATTTAGAAAATTTTGCTTCTGGTCTTGAACTCATTGGGCAAAAGGTATATATATACATATATATCTGTGTTTGTGAAACTTACTACTTGGTTTTCCTACCCTGATTGGTTATTTGAGTGTTAAGTGTTAACCCCCCCCCCCCCCGCCCTCTTTTTCTTTATTTTTCTCATGGTTCCTGAATTTGATTTATCTGTAGCTTCATATGGGTACACTCCAGAGTCGGTTGGATGCTGAATTCCTCTTGGCTCACATGTGCTCTGTCAAATTTAAAGAATGGATTGTTGTCCTTGCAACTCTGTTGAGAAGATCTGAGGTATAACACAGAACTTGATGTAGTATTTAAAGTCAGTGTAAACATGTAGGGTTATTGCGTTTTGAAAAATATCTGCTTGCAATTGTGACTCAGAGCACATTTTATGTAATCAAGTATCTTTGATTGTATTATATAATCTAATTGCATTTGAAGGCAAATGATAGGGTTTTTCCACTTTCTGTCTTGGGGTAGTGCCTCTTGTTCTATGAGGATGAGACAGTACAGTTTTTCTTAAAGAGTTCATCTGATCATCCTCAGGTACTCTTTGATTTATTTCGGCATGATGCGCGTCTTTGGAAAGCATATTGCATCACTCTTCAGGTATGCTTCTTTGTGACAACAAATATGGATTACATCAAACTTCTGTTGTGTAGAATCATTAAAAGGGAAGGATTAGAGATTCAGATTAAATAGAAGTGTGTGTAATACTCCCGCAGTCCCGCATACAAGTTAGAAAGAAACATGGAAAAATACTTTCATATGCATCCTTCTCACTGTTTTGTGGTTAGAATTTTTTTTTTTTTCTTTCTATCACACAGAAATATAGAGGAAAAAAAATCTTTAACTAAAAAGATGCACATTTTGTTGCAGAGATTGCATGTGTAATTTGAGTACAAAAGAGTTGTATATAAAGTATATAAAATCTATTCAAAAAAAAAAAAGTATATAAAATTATGCACATGGAAACCTCTCGTATGTCCCTGTACAATACAACGAATACATTGATAGATTTGATACTCATTAGACCACCATTGGAATTGATTGAATCACAAGACTTTCCTAAAAAAAAAAAGTATGAAGCCACAATTTTTTTTTTCTTTTTTCTGAGCCTTGCTGGTATCCTTAAAACATGCACATCCTGACAATCGGTTAATTGTTCGTATCTTATTGTCTCCCATGTTAATGTAGTCGCAACCAACATTTGCCGAGTACCATGATTTGGTTGAAGAACTGGAGGAACGGCTCTCATCTGTTCCAAAATTTCAGGAGATATGACGCCAAACTTGTAAAGTCGTAAGCTTTCATCCCAACATAGTTCACAGGCTTTTGAGGGTGTTATTAATGTTTATTGGTGCAGTACCTAGGCAAAGAGCCCTACTACCTTAAATGACAATTTCCACTTTATAGGGTTCACATCTCTGTATTATGTGTAGGAGCAGCAATAGTGTATCATTCATTCTTTGGTTTTTCCCTGTAGCATTTTTGGTCGTTGCAGTTATATTAGAATTATAGCATCCTCCGCGGTTGTACATAGAAGCTAGAAGCTAGGATGCAGCCATGAGGACTGTGATTGCTCCCGGCAGTTGACAAGCCTGGATCAATATATATCGTCTGTATACCTCTGTTTTTGTATTGATTGATAAGAGTACGGATGTCCCTAATAAAAGTTTTAGGCTCCATATTCTATTACTTTTGCCATGTATCATATAACTTTCAGTTAAATCTCACCTTATTTTAGAGGTCAGATGCTTAAAAATTTCATTCTCTTATGTTATAATCATTTGCTCAATAATGTGAAAATATAACATATGCTGATTATTACTCGTAGTGATAGTGATCATCAACATTACTTCGTATAAAATTCTACTGTATGTATGATCTTTAGGGGGTAAGGGAACAATGCACTCCCTAATGCTGCAAATAAATAGAGAATGGAGGAAGTGCTTCGTATTAACTACCGATTTTATTACTATATCAATGCACTTTGACTTACATTCATATTAGTTCATGTCGATGTGTTGTCATAAGTTCTGATAGAAAAAGCTAGAATGACAGGCGAAAGACAAATGTAACTTTGTTTACATTATGTTAAGAAGGTTGTAATCACACGCTCAAATGGTGGAAGTTTACATTATTCTTCCATTTATATTTGTACAGGAGTAGAACAATCTGTATATATGGTATTGATTCAGAAACTACATATCAGAGGTATGCCATATAAACTAAGAGAAGAAGCTGTGATGGAACTGCAGATTCTTCTAGCTTCAAAGTTAAATATGTTGCGCATCACACTTATCACACCAGAAATAAACCACTCAAAAAGTTGTTGCTCTTCAGTTGCAGCTGAGTTGAGGTTGGCAACTCACCAACTAAAACTGATTGATTCAAAATGCAGATTGTCCACCAAACCAGATCCACATATGGCTGCGACTTCGTGTCTCAGCCCTGCAGGACCGCTAGCAAGTACTCCAACGCTCGAGTCCTTACAATCAAACAGCAATCCTGCACAAAAACAAAGGGTCAGATTTTGGCTTTGTTCTATACACCAAATTAACAAGTTGACATTTTTTTTTCCAGATAAAAGTTAGCATCAGGTGTAATAGTGTAAATGTGTAATACATTGTAGTCAGAAAACATATGTTGAGGAGTAAATATATATGAAGGTATTTTAGCTTACTCTTGAGATCAGGCCTTTCACCAAAGTGAATTTCTGTGGACTCAAGGATAGACTGATGAGGAAGGCTCTCAAGTTCTCTGTCAGCGTTATAGAACCGTGATTCTGGTGTTGCCTGTGGTGTTATACCTTCCATGTTTGTAATTTTCTTGGCTTCCATGGCGTTTCTTTTCTTGTTCCACAGGAAGGCACCACTAGCTGCCACAACCATACACCCACAGAGTATTAATGTAGTAAAGATCGTTCTTGCAGCCGAAGGGAAGATGTCATTAGTGTTATGATCAATAGGGTAGATGTAGTATTGTGTAAGTATCCCCATGAAGATAAGGAATCCAAGGAATGATGACGCGATTATAGCACCAAGCCAAAGCCAACCATTCTTGCCTAAGTTAGGGGTGATGGGTGAATCGGATGCATTTGGCTTGAACCAAATGGCTTGCGGTTGCTTTAGGTAATCTTCGCTTTGTACTTTCTCTCTTGTTACATAGGCCTTGATTTGTAGGTCTATGCTTGAAAGATCTGAGGTGGTGCTAGAGAGCGGGAGGAGGAGATTCAACATTGAAAGACCCGAGGATTTCTTGAATGAGGAAACAAGAAGAATTTTTGGGGTTTGGCATTTCATTGTGGTGCTTATAAAGAGAAGTTCCTGAATAATGGAGATGAATGGCGTTATCCCACTGCCTCCACTCACCAACACAAGTGTATCGTGCCTGTAACCACAATAAATAAATAATTAATCAACATAATGAATCAAATAAACTTCTGATTGTTACTGAACTGAAATTATTTTTACGGGTTAAATTGATTCTTACTAACCTTAGAAAATGTTTAGAGGCAGGTCCATAAGGTCCTTCTACTGAGACTTGAAGACGATCAATGGATGAAGAAGAAACAATGTCGTAAAGCTTCCTAGACCATTTCCCTTCAACCTTGATTACAACACTAATCTTGTCTTGCTCCAAGTTACTACTAGAACTAACAGTAAAAGGGTGCCATTGGAGCTTGGAAATGCTTGGGACATTAACGAACATTATGCTAGTAGGATTGTAACTCAAACTCATGCTTTTGACAAAGTTGAGCTCAAGTGCTTCACAGGACAAGACACGAGCGGAGAGCAATCGCACACGTTGGCTCGATTGGAGGTACCGCAAGTAACGATCAATCATGAATAGGTAAAAGCCAGGAAGCATGTAATAAGCATAGCCGATGCCTACATGAAAGAAGAAGAATACGACGAAAAGGATGTAGAGGTAGTGAGCGTAGAAGAAGACTTCAAAGAACTTTCTTCGAATTCGAGGGTATGTTGCTGCCCATAAGATTAGTCCAAAGAACAAGGATAGTTCTCCTGCTACATTAGATACATCTGTTTTACTCCACTTCAAAGCCTGCATATATTTTGGATCATAAAATGAGTTTGCAATAAGTTTTGAGGTCCAAAACAATAAGTATAGCAACTATTTTGTAATGAGGGAAACAAATTCTAATTATCATAAACAAAACTAAATAGATGCCATCTCCAAAACTTGTACATACTTCAAGTGTTTAAATAGTTAGTAAATTCAATCATCAAGGTAACGTACTTAGACTATGTCAAATTTTCTTTTTTGTGGACTTGGGATTTACAAAAATACCTCAATATTACATGGGTCGGAATCTAATCAATGGAATTTGGTTCATTTATCATCATAACTCGCTAAATTTAAAAGTCTCTCAGTAACTTTATTCTAAACCTTTTTTTTTTTAGAAAATTTCCAAAAAAATTATCAAGGGCAAAAAAGGAAGAGAAAAACTAAACTCTCACTAATGTGAATGTACGAACGCCGGCCCATGTGGTAATAGGAAAAATGGACCACTTAAAATTTTACATGTAGAAGAAAAAAGGGGTCCACAATGGCACTTCCAATAGTCCAAGAAAAGGGGATGTTATCGTTAAAAGCCCACCACTATTTTTGGGCTAAATCTGCAATTACATCAGTTGTGCTTCATCTCCACTCGGTTTATGTTGTTGGATTCTTGCCTATGATTGTGATTCAAACCCGATTCTTAATTCTTATCATGTACTACTGTTTTTCAGTCTTATGTTCTTCATTTCCTAAATTCTTTGTATCCAAATTCACCAATACCATACACGTCCCACGATTTTTAGACCCTACCATTTTAATATGCTAGTGTTTGATTTGTACTTCCTACAGGGTACATGGATTGATAAATGATAATGGTCTAATTTGACAATTGATTTTAATTTGTCGACTTAACTTGGCTTGTTTGATTTAGTTGATATTGGACCCGCATCATCATAGGAGTAGAATGGATAGTGTAAAAGTTACCTCAGAGATTTCTCCTGCAACGGCCCAAAGAGGGATATAGCCTAGGCCGTGGGCAGTGAAGAGTGCCATAGTTAGATGGCCTAGCCAAATGTGATATTTAATGCTTCCTTCGGAGGTTAATCCAAACAAGGGCAATATCGATGATCCTCGAGTCACTGGGTAGAACAACAATGATAAGCATATGTTACCAGTTAGCCCTAGCCTAAACACGGTAGCTTCCCACTTGTACAAGTATCTGCAAAACACGTCCATCAAGTAAATATATATTGATTGTATAATAGGCGTTACATTAGTCATATTAACAAAGTTATACAAAGTATCAGTCAAAGTAGTCATGTTAATTTTGAAAACTGTCATCCATAAAATCTTGTTTTTTGTTTTTAAAAAGCCGAATTTAAAGGTAAATATGTGCATGAATCTCATGAGAAAAGTAAGTTACCTTTGGCTTCCCTTGACTTGGATTTTAGAATAACCAACATGCAAGTACACAGTCAAGGACCAAACGAGAAACGCGATGAACATCAGGAGAAATGACAATTCTACCCCTGAGACTATCCCTAACGGTCCTCTTACAAGCACTGGCCTCCTCCACGTTGCTAACCATCTTGTAACACCACTACTTTTCCCGTCTTTCCTGTTAACACAATTAACATTTTAAACTTTCATTAATTAAGAATTCTTCTTACGTTACAAAGGTCCAAAATTTTAGAGAAGTGAATCAAGAGGAATTTAAGTACATATAGCAAAAAAAAATTTCTTTTTCTATATAAATTTTGGAATGTGTATAAAGCTATATCCGTCATTTTCTCTCATATACTTATTTTAATTTCTTGTAACATGAATATTCAAAATGGGATGTTAAATGTCACAAGACTCACAACTTATATGACAAGATTGACATCTAAATGGTGTCACAATCTTGTGTGACACTCATTTATTGGTATCACGTAAGATTTAACTTATCAGTATTAATTAAAGATTTTCCCAAAACAATGAGAATAATGGCGATAGATATATAATTATACTAGAGTATATATACAACAATGAGTAAACAAATGGTAAAGGGAATAAATAAAGTGAAGAACAAGTTTGATATTTTGGGAATAACAAAATCAAATTTAAAAATTGTAAGAATTACTCATTCATTCATCATATGTAATTATACATAAAATTAAACAACATACATTCAGTATTTCCCCTCTAAATACTTATTTACTATGTTTCCAAGGGAAAAAATAAAGTAATAAAATCCAATTCAGGATATACTCTTAAAATAAAATCTCTCATATATGGCAAATAATACTCGTATTTGATTTCATTTCTAATAAGAGCATCTCCAATGGTTTAATTGTAAGGACTTGCTTGCAATATAAATAAAATTTCTAGCTACATGCTTACCATTGGAGAACAAAAAATTGAGCACCATGCTAGCAATTGTAGCCCAAACAAGCTACATGCTTGATTGAAAAAGAGACAAATAAACTCCACTTATATTATAACATGTGTATAATTATTTATTTATTTATTAAAATTTATTTTTTACAAACTAAAAAATGTTGTAGCTTACCATTGGAACACTTTGTTGCTAAAAAGTGTTGTAGTTAAAAAATTAATATAAAAAAGCAAGCTACAAAGCATTGTAGCTTGCCATTGGAGATGCTCTTGATCAGGCCTTTTTTTATTCGCATCAGTTTTATTACCCACCGCATCATTGACTATGTAAAATCGTGACAATTTTTATTTTATTTTTTAGTTACAAATTTTGACATTTACCATTTTTGTAATTATATGGTTAAAGTTTAAACTTGTTAGAAAAAATAAATTGTTCTAAGAAAAAACATTCATTCCAAGCTTTCATGTCAAAGCCAAGTACTCGTAATTTTTCACTTTTATGTTACTAAATAATTAAGTTGAAACTCCCTTTCAAAAAAAAAAAAAACATTATAAGTTGAATCTAACTATTATATAAATATAATAAGTGACTGAGTTAGTAATGAGCGATATTCTTAAGTAATTAGATAGTTCTGCCTAGTCACTTTAAAAAATTAGACAATAATTTTCAAAAATGTGATTTTCAATTTTTTTTGTGGTAATTAAAGAGAATCATCTCTGATTATGTGATAAGTCAAAGAGAGTGAGATCGAGTTGAATATCTCTTGAGATTTTTCTCGACTGTATGTTTTTTTTTTTTTTTTTTCAAGAAAAGTAGCAAAAAGAACCAACCTTGGCACTTGATAATCAAAATATTTCTTTCCCAAATGATGGTACACGGATCCTAAAACCGCAATGAAGAGGACAGGAAATACGAAAATCAACAACGATGTACCTGCAAAATTATTACCACCCTCATTATCAATTTATCATCAAAACTTTATGTTATTATCTTCACATGCATATATGCATGCATTCAAATTTAATTAATGTAAAATAATCGAGTAACATATATATAAATAAAACCGATACACTAAAAAAGAAACGGAGGGAGTAAGTAAATATACCTTGAGTACCAAAATAAGTCGAGGTTAAGGTTGCGGACATTTTAGTCCTCCAATTGTTTCTGTAAAGATTAGTAGGCATAACAATCCATATCACAAAATAACCCAACATTACCACCGTTAATACAACCATTATCACTTTTCTAATTTCCTTCACTTCTCCTCCTCCATTATTATTATTATTATTGGTTGATGATTTTCTCTCAACTCTTACGTCCGCCATTTTTAATTTCTCTCTCTACACTCTTTTTCTCTCTCTAAGATTTTGATTTTGTTGTGTTTCTAAAATGTAGGATTTTAGATCCATTTATATAGGGAGAAAATAAGAGCGAAAAGGGTGTTTTTTTTTTTTTTTTTTTTTTATAAAAAGTATATATTTATTTTTATTGAAACTAAATATTACAAGTACGGAGTAGCTTTTTTAGTCCAAGTAGTATTTTATTTTTTATTTTTATTTTGGTGGATGTATATTGCTATGTTAAGGGGCATGGTTCACGTACCAAAAACATTCCCTAATATGTAAGCGATACATAGATTACGTGATAGAATTAAGAGATAATTAATTAAATAATTGATTATATAGTTTTGACATTTTTTAAGTCAAACTTTGTAAACTTTGTACACTTTCACTGTAACTATAAAGATTTTGTTTGGTTAGCTCATCTAAAAAGAAATTAAAATATAATAATTGTGCTTCTTTCTATTTGATTACCTCATTTGTATTCGAATTCATCATTCTATTAGCTTAACTATAGCTCATAATCCAAAAGGCAAGTTTCATGCGGCCATTTTGTGTGTGTGAATGATCAAATTATCTACTGCCTAGTGTCTCTATAATTTTGCACTATTTTGTGTTCAATCTAACTATTTTTTATTCGATTTTTCAAGAGTTTATATTATACTCCGTAATTTACTTTTAATCACTTTGAATTATGGAGTAAATTACAAGAAACATATTTTTTTGACTAATTTTTTTTTATTGCAACTATTAGTTTTTAATTTAAAAAAAAAAACTTACAATCAAATTCAGATTATTACTCTGTATATTTACACTTTTCTCATGAAAAAATACGGGTTATGACTTATATCAATGATAAAATTACGTATTGCTTGGTATTATCAAATACTGTATTTCATATTTATGGTTGTATTATCTTCTCATATACTCAAGATATCCTTTGAGATTTCATTAAATATGCAATTAATTGCTATTTTAGAGTCTTATGTGTAACGACACTAAAAATGAGTTAGTTGTAACTTAGCAACGTAAGAAACACAGAGCTGTCAATTTCTTTGGTTGTCTAAAGTCGAAAATCAGGAGATGCTGAGCAGTGTCCACTCAGTTCATTATACACTTGTTTTTTCTAATTTTTTTAATTGGTATTTTTTTTAAAGCAGTGTACACTTGTTTATAGTCTTCTCCCTCCGCCCCTTTTTGACCTGTTATTTGTTTATTAAGAGTCCGTTTACTTTATTAAGTTTTGGTTGTATGAATTGACGTGAGAAAATTATGAGGTCGAAATTACAGTATTACATAAGTTAAATGTGATAGCAAAATATTGTCCTTTATAGATGTTTATGATATGTAACAAACTCAAAAGGTGTGAAGGGAGTAACAAGCAAATTTCAATTTTGTTATATTAGGAAGCAATTTTGAAAAATAGGATATCCATTAGATATGATTGACTTTTTAAAGAAGGGGATATTCATACTCACTAAATTTGGCTAATGATTCGTAAAGTGGGGCAAAAAGAATTATGTTTGACCTTTAGCAAATTTTTATTAATTAATCAATTTTTATTTTATGCTGGTGAAATTAGTGGCTCAAATTTTATAATTGTTATGTTATAGAATTCGCGTGTGTGCTCGTGTCGGTTTCGTCTTTATGCGAGGTGGACCATATTAGGATGTGTGTCTTCTTGTGCCATTTCTCGTTACAATAAACACATATATATCCTCTTCTTGTATTCCGTATTTTAATTTCTTAATTTCTCGATTTTAATACAAATTATTTTCCTATATTTTTATACATATATTGCTTGGGGTCAAGAAAATCAAACCTCTTTTACAAAGATTAAAAAAAAAAAAAAAAAAAAAAGCCTCTAATCAACTAGGCTAATTTTAATTCTCGCATGTAAAGTCTGATTAAATTTGTCTTGGTACATATACTTCATAATACGGAATTTTAATCTTAACACAGCACTACCAAAAGCTTTCAAGCTAGATGCCCGTAAATTCTTTGTGAACGACTGAACATCAGCTAATAATCCTTCCAAAGCCTAAAATCCGGATCAGTAACTCAGGATGAATGTTTAAACGAAAGGCAATCTAACAATTTAAGAAACATTTGGTTATTTCCCTGGACAACACAAATCCAACTTATACCTTAGTTCCTCTCTTATCCTTACAATTTACATATAGGCATATATTCCCCACTAGAGAGACTTTGAGGGTGGAGATCCCTTACCCTTCCCCTTCACTCTCAAAGTGTCTGACCCGCAAATACCTAACCAAAAAACCGTGAGGGTTGAGGTATGGTCAGGGTCTTTCTCCTTACTCCAAAAAAAAAAAAAAAAAAAAAAAAAAAAAAAAAAAACAACATATAGTCATATACGGAATAATTAATACGTAGTATTAAAAGTTCATCTTGAGAGGAGGGTCTTGAAGCGTTCCTTTTTCCTCTAGCTTACACGAGACATGCAATACCAAAGTTTTGCTGAACAATAGCTTTGGGGCAATTGGGGTTTAATTGTTTAATAAATGAACATTACTCCGTATTGTTCTGAGTAATATATTCAGTTTCTTATTTTATAGTACGAAGTATTTGCTTGCCATTCCATATTTCAGGGGAGGGAATTATTGAAAAAAAAAAAAATATATATATATATAGCAGTAAAACGATTACGCCATGATCAGATTGGCGTATGGCTCAAATTAGAGCTGTAAGGCCTGTAAGATGTAACTCATGCAGTCATGCCTCACCGCAGAAGTGATGTCTTGTGTAGTTGTGTTCGTAAAATAGTAAGACAACTAGGCAAGGCACCACCAACGCTTAACCCGGTAATACCATTCATTGTTATAATTTTGATAGTAGAATTATGCAGTTAGCAGCAAAAACTATCAAGAATTGAAGACTATTCCAGCCTTGTTAAAATATAACCTATTCCTGTTATTTGATCAACCTTGCAACAGTGATAGCCCCCCTTTCAAACTCTTGCAATAGAGTAAAAGCTCAAGACCAACTTGTAATCGAATGATGACAGTTTCTGTTTCTTCATGATTCGCTAGTTATTGTATGAGATCAACTCACAAAAAAGTTGCTTTTGTGAAAGAAGAGCAGTTCACAGCAAGAAGTTTACATGACTAGGTTTTATCATAGCTACAGATTGCTGAATCCGCCCATAACAAACTATCTCATACAAGACATGGATCATTCCTGTATGTCCAATACAAGAAGTGATATAAATGACCAGTGCACTAATCTTGTTCCTTTCATGGCACCAGGCTAGCCAGTAGCCAGTGTGTATGTGGCTATGCTTCGAACAAGGATGAGACAGTATTTGGCTGAAAGCTTCCACATCTTGAATTACACTGCTCACTAATAGCTTTTCCTAGTTCTTTTGAAATAACATAACTACATAAACGAACTCACGAAACTTGAAATTCCAATTGTTATCAGAAAACCAAAACTGGTGCTTGCAGAATCATAGCAATATCCAACTGTTACTAAAGGATGCTCAAATTTACTCCCAGCTTTATTCAGTACTCCAGCAGATGTTCACAAACCATTAGGAGATTATTTTTAAAGTATGCTTGACTTAATGACCATAAATCTCCATGTTACAATCCACAGATGACCATCATATTACAGGATGAAGACCTATAAATACAGAACAGTAAACTCTAGAAGAAGAGTAATTCTCTCTTTCCAGCTTCTAGGGATGGTACACTCTTACTCATTTTCCATCGACTTAATAAAAGATTGAAGAAAAGAATAAGAATGAGATGATAGTTAGGAATTGCCAGGGTGCATAATATTAAAACAATGAGAACCAAAATAATCACACCTTTTAAACCAGAAAACTAGAAAAGTTATCAAAAGTATATCCATTACAGTTGGTTTTCATTCATATGCCTTCACCAATCACCATATATTACACTCAAAAAACAAGATCAATAATCTCAGAAAAAAAGAAAAGTTTGTTAACATTATATGAATTATCAACAAAAATAAATACGGAGTGCCTATGATCGGAAGTTCTAAGTTCTTCACAAAATACAATTTACTTGCATAACTGAAAGAGCATCAGTCCAACCATCTGAGTCCTTTCACATCTAGCAATGCCACAATCAAAGTGTTCTGAGGTCCAATACTCGACCTTTTAACAAGACCAGGGCTTGATAAGTTATGAATGTAGCAACATATATGGATACATTCATCTCCAAAGAGACTTTCATTCGCAAAATTATAAATAGGTAGACTTCAAACTGACTTCAGAAACATCCACAGGCAATGGAGACCATGCCACAGAATCACGCACAGCCATTAATCTTTTACGCAAGACAACAGATGCAGCAACCAACAACCCTACTGCAGCTACAAGAAGCACCAGAAAACTACTATTTCCTCCCCTACATCTCATGATTGAATTTGCAGATACCATTCCATCAAGACTATTTAGTGAGTTGCTCATTTTGAAGACTTCTATTCCATTCAGTAATGCATCAACCCCTGAAGGTGAGCTCCAATTTGAATGCCCAACACTAACAGAAACAACCCCGTTTTCTCCATTGACAACGAAATCAGCATAGTAAGGAGAAGCCAAACTGTTTGTAATAGTCGTTAGATCCAAGTTTTCAATGGCCAAATCCCCATTAACATACACATTGAAATACAATGATCCAAGCACAGGACTAGCAATGTCACAAAAATGAGTCCTCACAAGATACTTGTACCCATCAACAATTGGAAAACCCCATGTCAAATACTCCTTAGCAACACCAGGATTCGAAGCACTAATGACCCTCGCGCTGTTATACACATTATCAGGGGCAACCTCGCGGCTCGCTCCTCCCAATTGATACTTAATTCTACCACCAAAATGAACCTCTTTAGACCCATGGTCTGATTCTAAGAACCCATCATCAGTAACCCATGTTCTCCACAAAGAATCATTAAAAGGGGTCACTTTAGCACCTCCAACATTAACCCTAAACATAGTTTCAAACGCATTTCTGGAAATTCCATCAATTTTAACCACCCCATTAGAATCTACAGATTGAGCAATGTCCAGTATCAAATCTTTAGGCGCAGAAATAACTTCAATTGCATTGACAAAGCCAAATTTAGATTTCTTCAAAGGTTTGAACAAAATTTCAAGGTTATTACTATCAACCCACAAAATATACTCCCTAATTTCAAGTGATTTCATGGTCAACCCACTAAATTCATTCAATAACAAATACCCATCAGCTAAAACATGAAATTGAGCATCAGAAAGATCGAATTTCGATGAATCAAAGCGGTGAAAATGAAGACGTACCAAATGGGCACCTTTCTCTTTGATCTGAAACGCATATTTTGAGGGTTTTCTGAAGATTCTGACCGAGTTGTAAAGAGGGGAGACATGGTCTAACTCAGTGAGGGGGATCGTCCGAGATGCAGAGAGTCGAACCGAGTGAGGAAGTGGCGAATCATCGCCGGAAAACTTGCGATTATCGGAGTCGGTGGTTAAAGGGGCGTCGGAGCCGGCGTTGATTAGGTAATGGTCGGTGGGAGTGAAAGAAGAGGAAGCATCAAAGAAGAGCTGAAGAAGAAGGAGAAGGAGGAGAGAGAAAATGGAAAATTTAGGGAGATTCGCCATTGCAGAGAGACAAGAAACAGAGACAAGAAGAGTCAGAGGAAAGAGGGAGAATTATTGTGAAGGAAATGAAGAACAGAGCTCAGAAAAACACGGATTTAATTAAGATTAATAAACTTTTTGGTTTAAACGCGTTGAACATTCTGACAGCTAGCTATTTTTGGGTGTGCCCTCGAGTGGGCTGGGTGGTAGCCTGGTAGGTGAACATATCCGTATTCGGGTACGGGGATTATTAAGGGCGTAAATGAGGCGAGATATGATAGGTTCAATTCGACATTACTCGATGTACTAGTTTGTAATTGAAATTAGATATGAAAACTTATGCACCACATGGTGCAATAACATATGGACATGATGCACAAGCCACCAAGCATTATGGGCAATGGGGCGTAGGCGTGGCTATAGGGCACCTATCCATGGTTATAGGCTCATAGACTCATCGCATATACGGAGTACAAACACATAACATGGCATGCACTTAATGCTACATGCATAAACTAACGCTTTTCAACTCCAGCCAATGGCGAAAGTATAAACCAATGTTAAAGCTTTCAAAACCCTATCTTCAATTATCAGTTGTTATCCTTGTAATGACAATATGCATCACCCGAGGTCAATCACATCTAATTTCGGAGAGAATGAGTACGTTGTTACAATTAAATCCAGATATAGTTATTAGTGAGTGCATTCATTAGATTTCCATGGTATGACTCGGTCGTTTAAGCAACTTCAAATTCAAATAAGATACATGAGAAATTATGTTACATTTTAAGGCAATAAAACGAAGTACTGCAAGAGTCCAATTCTTTAATTAGCTCATGAGTGATAGCTGAGCACTTGAGCAAAGAAAGTTATCTAGTACAATAGGGTATCAGTCCAACTTGATCAGAAACAAAAAATAGTAAAAGAAAGAATTCAATTACTGCAACTAAGCTGTTTGATTAGAGTAATGAGCAACAAGCCCTGTGTACACCATATCTCCTGGATGCAAAAATTGATACATTATATAGCTTTACAAATACACTACTTGAAATTCTTTGAATTTCAGCCAGCTGTAATTTACTAATATATGTCACAATGCAGTGTGGGTGCCAAATTGGCAAATTTGAATGAACTAATACCAAGCTGTGACTCTGAGCCTTCAGTTTACTTCTGGTCAATTTCTCCAAGCGCGAGTTTTACTAGGACATCACCTCTTTTTGCTTGATAAAGTTGCTGATAATAATCATCTTGAATCAAATCTTTACTAGCTAGAGTAGAGTCGCCGGAATGTTATTTGTACCAGCCAACTAGGAGCCACCATAACAAGAAACAAAATCCGCAAGCAAAAGCCTGTGGAGAAGGACATGTCATGTTAATGCACTAATATCTATCAGTGGCCAACAATGCATAACTTTGTTGCAATGACCCCCAAAAGTAGTACGAGTAGTCGAGTAGTATATACAAATTTTCACTAATTTAGGGAGGTTACAGAGGGAGCTAGTAGCCTCACCTGGATAGAGAGAAGAACAATGCAGAGTGATTGTTCATACATTCTTCCAAAACGTCTCAAACAAAAGTTCACAAGTGTACCGTTCTTAGTCCCAGTTAGAAGTCCTGTTTGAGGGTCAAATCTGGTGGCATTCAAGATATTGTCAGATGAGGTAAGAAATACCATGTATGAACTGGGTTGAGAAAATAGATCAAAAGGATTACCTTGGAAGACGGTGTCGAGGACAAGGAATAATTCCAGCAATCTTGTAACAAGTAAGTCATAATAAACATATTAAGCAATGCTCAAGGGCAGATTGCCAGATTATATGAGGGGAATTGAAGAGAGGAGAAGCAAAACTAACCTGGGGAATTGACAGGATAAAATTGATGACTTGAGGGGCAAAGAAAATCAGTAGTGTTTCACTGCAAAATCCACAGAGAATCAGACTATTACTCTTTCCAAACAAGCATATACAAACTGAGTCTTTCTCCTGAGCTAATGGTCTAATGCTATATAACAATGACTTCATATGCATACTTTTAATTCGAACTTTTCACACATCAAACAGGTAGTAAACTCGTTAAGCATTCTATCAAAGAAAGTGAAGATGGATTGCTAGGCAATTATAGTGGAAATTGCATTCATCATAGACATGGAAGTGTGCATCTTATACATGACTGCATATGCGCCTGTCCAAACTTGAAAGCAATTTCTCAGGTGTGTAATAGTTATTCCTAGTTAAGGTTTCGACCAAGTAATAAAACAATATAGATGATATGGTGTAGTTTCAATAACAAAAGAAAGCTATTTCACCTGTAGTGACCCAGAATTCCAGCAACGGCCATTGTCATTCCAGCAAAGTATGTATACGTATCCCCAACAAAGACTGCAGACGGATACCTGAACACAAAGTCAAAGAAGGATCTCAAACAAAGTAACATAAAAGATACCTCAAGTACATAATACCAGTGACATAATTACCAGTTGTAAGATAGTAAAGCCAAAGATGTAGCAAACAAAGGTTGAATAAGATGAATAGAGAATAGATGAGCCTGCTGATACTCAGAATTGCCAGTGGATGCTCCAATTCGCAAGATATTATGTATCAGAATCTGTTAAGCACTCAATTGATCAGACTATAAAAATTACAACAATGTTTGTAGCAAATTCAAAAGTTGATAGGCTTACTGCGGATGCAATGACTACAGTCTGCCCAACTTCAAGACCATTTATACCGGCATGAATATTAATAGAGTTAGTGCAGAACACTGCCAGAAGGCACATATACAGTTTATACATCCATCCTGGATACATATAGAAGGGACGCGATGCCAAATTAGAAGATGTCACTTACGTACCTAGATCCAATGACTCGAACCCAAGATGTGGAATGAGAGGCTTTGGGATTACGATGGTTGTATGACCGGTATAAGCCATCAACAGAGGAAGAGCAGCAACTAAAGGCAAGACCAGTTTCCTGTAAGGACAACAAACTTTTAATGTCTACGAGTGATAAATTTCGAAATAATATGAAATGAGTCTGGACAGCCCGAATAAGGAGGAGGAGAATTTGGTCCACAAACTAGGCTTTGGAGCTTCCACACTAAAACCAATTGGCAATAGTAGGAGTAACTCCTCTAACTTATAAACTGGAACCACATCTCCTCTTTCTCCAATATGGGACATTCACAAGTGGGCTACAATGGGTTTCAATAACGAGTAAATGATAATTTTATCACGAAACTAACAAGATTAGTACTTACATTCTCCATGGAATGTCAAGAACGTCGTCAACAAAGCCAAGCAAAATCATGAAACAGATTGATGTCAAAGCTGAATTATACTGAACTAGCCACTACAAAAATTATCAATTTGTTCATTAGTATGACACATAACAAAGTCTGTCTCTACATTGAAAGAAATGTTTGAAAAACTTACAGTGGAATCAGCAATCAAGTTCAAGGGTTGAAACAAAATTGCCACGCCCAAAAACAGAATTACTACGGCCAAAAACACTGTCCCAACAACTATACCCAAAGATTCAGGACTGTAAATCAATAAAAACAAATCATTATAATTAACACTTTAAAATTACACAGCAACATTGCATCAATTGATTAGAGTCGAGTTAAAAAATGACACTTTAATGTTTCCTTGAGGAGTGCCAGCCTTATTAAGATCAAACCCAAACAAATTGCGAGAACCAGGTAACGAGAAGCGACGGGAATCATTCTCAAAGTTATAAGAAATCCGACGAAACTGAAAGCGCCATTCATGAGTATTGATCGCTTCAATTCTTCGTCGTCGATTCTCAGGAGAAGGTAAACATATGGGAGCAACAATATAGCGGAAATACCCACAATTTTGGATTTCATCATTGTATTTTGGTTCCAGAATATGTTTTTTGAGTAAACAATTAACTGGAGAATTGAAGTAAATGTATGTTATGGCCTCATAGTATCCGGAATTTTGAGGAGGTTCTTGCAAAATAAATACGAGTTTTAGATTTTTTATATTTATATAGAATAAAAAAAATAAAAAAAATAAAAATTTTAGTACTCGTATATTCTTAAATAAAAAACAAATCCTACGTTTAAAAGAGCTCTATTCCTATTGCCTAATGGAATAAAACTTGGAATCACTTTTTATACTTCGTGATATGCAAGGGCACTTTTGCAAAGCATGTAACATATCAACAAAATTTATTTAAGCAAAGTGATGTGAATATAGAATGTTCGTCGAAATCTTGAAACACAAATTTTTATGTGTCGCTCATCATAGGGGTTACTTTGTTATCATCTGTGTTATAAGGTTACTAGGTCAGTGTTATAGGATTATTCGGTTAATATTACATGAGTTATTTAGTCAATGTTATAAAAATTACTTTTTTTTTTATAGGTAATCACACACAAGACGAATTATAAACTATTGCATTATGCATACAAGAATTTGCTCTGTCCATAATAGTAAATTTGTTAAGAAAGTACGTACTATTAAAACTCCATCCATTTATGAAGCTTTGATATATATGATAAACATCAATGGCATCAAAGATGAAAGTATACAAGTGCGTAAAGAGCCTATTTACAATGGTAAAAGTTTTTTAATTATCCTAACTCAAAATTGCTTCGATTCGGCCAATAAGAACCCAAATGGGTTAAACTTGAATTGAAAGCAAGTAAAAATGAGAAGAGAGATGATAATTGCTCAAAAAAAATATAGCAATTTTTATTAATTAGTTATTATTGTAATGGTTCAAGGAATTCCCCTTCTCTGCATTCTCCTACATCTATTACCACTGTACTTTTCTTGTCTGTATGCATCACCCTACAACAATCCCTTCTTGGACCCTGCCATAAGACCACCATTGCGCACAACAATTAGAAAACTGAGTAAAATAATAGTGCAAAAGGAGTAATTTAGATTTAATTTAAAATCCGAATATGTCCATCTTAAGGTGACTGTTTTTTACTAACTTTGAATTTATAATTTTTTATTTTTTTTAAAAAAATCCAGATAATTTAAGGAGGGAAATAATTAACCTTATCTAAATTATTCTATCTTATCAAAACTTATTTAAATATATCTCGGTAATCCTTATCAAAACCTAATACTACTTAGGGGGCGTTTGGTTCACGAAATATAGGTATGAGGTATGGGTTTAGAATGACTAAAACTATCATATGTTTTGTTGTCAAAAATATGAATTTCAAACCCATACCTCAAACCCATGAGGTATGGGGTTTAGAAACCTTGGGGGGGAGGTGGGTTTGGCTCATTCCATTCCCTTAGGTATCAAATAAAAGGAGAAAATAGTGAGATATTCCATTCCAGAATCAAACCAAACACATGGTATTAAGTATCAAGTTCCAACCCGATACCACCTTAACCCCATTCCTGATTCCAACCCCATACCACTCTGTGAACCAAACGCCCCCTTAATTTTCTTAAGTTTATCTTATTTGAGCATATTTTTTTTATGAAATAAGTTAAAACAATGTGAACCATAAAGGATATAACACGCCTCAAGCATGGCCATATTACAACTTTTTATTTTCAAGGTCGGTTCACTTCAGCTTATTTTCATTTCAGTTCAATTAAGCTCCAATTAGTTCAATTTAGTTCCGCTCTTAATATCCTTCTCTCATAAAATATTCATTTCAGCTCTATTCAGTTCAGTTCAACTCCAATCAAATTAGTTTAGTTCAGTAAATATGAACAGGCCCTTAGCCTATATAAAAAACTAGATCACAAATAATGACTAATCATATTTTGATTACAAAGATAAAAGTAGAAAATTACCTCATCCCATTTATGAGGGTCAGTAGGCTTCTTATACACTTCAACCTTGTGAAACTTCTCAGGGTTCTCAGCTTTCCACCAGCACCAAGGATGAGGCATTTGATATAGCTCATACTCACTCACTGTCACATTAATCTCTGCATTATTTGCGGCTTTAGAAAGATAGTATATGAAAGGCTTCTCACAAGGGTGCTTGGTAAATGGTCTTGTGTTGAAGGCAAAACTCGCTGGCTCATCTCTATTGTACCAATTGAAAAATGTTCTAGACGGTCTTTGCATCTCTCGGGGTGTGATGGAACCACGAATGATCTGCACCGCGTACCCCCAGGAGACTGAGACGGTCCAGTTCCTGGTGGAGTCGTAGCATATGGACTGTTGCATTAGTGAGTCCGAGTCTACTTCTGCTGCTATCTTTAGACGTTGCAGCGCTTGGAGACGGGTCATGTATGGAAATATTGGATCAACTATTTCTAAGTGATGTAGTGTTACTAGTGGTGCTACTGGGTGCGCTGTTAGGATCCCAAATAGGTTGCCATGCACATCACACTGCCAAATTATTTAAAAACTTTAGGTAAGATATTTGTGCAACTTTAATAAGAGATGATAAAATACAGTACATATATGCAAAAACACTCTCTATCCAAAAAAATATGAACACCACGCCCATGGAATTGGAAAAAGTGCAGACATACTAACAATTATATGTCTATTTTACTCGACTTGTTCATAAATAATAGGTCGCTTAAAAGATTGGTGAATCAACTAAGAATAATTCGTCACATAAACTACATTGTTTAAATTTAGCTAAGCTTCCAAGTAGTTCATGGACAAAGACTTAATTTGTTTTACTAAATGTTCATAGACAAACACTTTCTAATATGTAAACATGTAATATTTCAAAGAAATAAGCATGGTTAAAAAAAAAAAAGTAAATATAGCACTAGCTTCCATCACTAATAATGGAGTAATAAAACGTGGAGAATGGATGAATAAAGGAAGACTAATTTTTGTGTACTTTCTACCTCCCACTATTTGTGTGCCACAAAAGTTATTTCAAGTCAACATATGTACAAAAAAAGGACTTAAGTCAATCATTGAATTCCCCTATCTCCACTTCTTTTGAATTTTACCCCATTAATCAAGGCATTGAAAACTACTCACTTATTATTTGGGATTTAATTAGTTTGGTAAGTTGAACTTTCATATGTATAATGTATTACAATAATTAAGCCATATGTCAGGGATAAATTGTGGAAAGTGACACGAAAATTTGGAAGTTGGAATGAAGTAAAAGGAGACTATGATTAAAATATACCAAACTTTTGTTGGACAATTAACAGAAATTCACTTCAAATTGTGGGTCCTCAAAGACTATAAAAGAGTGATATCTTTGACTTAAGTTATCTATCACTAAAATTATTTTGGATCATTTGGAAATTGTATAAGGTTAACTAGCTACCAAATCAATAAGAATGTAGTGAAAGTTCAAAGGAGGATGCAATGTATATTGTCATTACAATGGCTAAGATTCTAATATGGTGTTCTCAAATTTAATTATGATTAATAATAGTTATATAGTTATGGGGCATGATGCACATACAAGGACACAGTACATGTTATATTAGAACGATCACTCATGTTTGTATATTAGAACGATCACTCATGTGTTAAGATTGTCGGAATCTATAAAATTCATTCTAATTGTATATATATACAGGAAGTATAAAGTTGGCTAGTCCTAATTGGAACTTGTTTAAACTATATAAACTTCTAATACATATTTATATATGTACGAGAGATGTATGTGCATGTAAAGGTAGGTCGTGGTAAGAAATCATCATATGCACATGTGATATGGCATGTCGTTTATCACCAATGCCTAAGGTCACATTTTAGCATGTAAAACATGCAATTAATGGCGAGAGCACTAGTAATCTGTATGTTGAAATCAATGGTTTTATTTTTACAAGAACAAACAATTATTATTAACACATGTTGTCACAACTCCCTAGTACACTCCTATGATTTCTGAAAAACCAATTTAATAGGAAAAGAGTTTGTTACATAACCAAAAAAACTTGGTCTAAAACAAATACAAAACAACTTATAAAGCGTTATGGTAGGTAGGACTCCAACTTTTTGACCAGAAGTTAGAAAAATGAAATTAGTAGCAGTAATACTAACAAACTAGTAAAGTTGTAGTAGTAAAACCCAACATACACTCAATATCACTTTTATCATCAAAGTACGATGGACATTAATTTACAGCTTTGCATATTCATTACTCGTAATTAAACCACATTTTATAAATAAAATAAAATAAACTGACGAGCACTCACTTTTGTAACATATTGTTACCTTTAATTTTATTAAGCACCCATATTTCATTTAATCAACAATCAAGTATTACCAAAAAACGTGAAACTCAGAAAATTATAACAGCTAGTAACAATTCCTAATTTGTTAGCTGGAAATTGCAAAATCAACGTGACCATTTGCAATTTCACTCATAATAATTAATAATACTTATAAATTTAAATTTACATGCTGATTAACCGTAATTATCATGATAAACATGTAATTTAACCTAGTAAAGTGACAATGAAAGTATCAAAGTAGTAGTATATGAAAACGAACCTGGTGGAAACCGGGTTCTCTAGTGAGAGGAACACCGAGCTCGGCCAAACAAGCCTGAATCCGATCATCCGAACCGTATAAACCCGTATACCTTTGGATACAACCATCTTGCATTTTTTCAATAGCCAATGCTAAAGGATAACTAATAGCAAACCCTCCACCTCCAAAAGCCATATCATACGCAAAATTAATATTTTGCAAATGTGTTTCCGAATTACTCCCAATATAGTACATCTTATTATGATCATACTTTCGTAACACTCGAATTAAATTATCGGGAAAAAACACGGTGTCGTCGTCTCCCATGATGAACCACCGTACTTCGTCTTCCAACCCCATCCGGACGATCTCGGATACAATCCGAGTCATCCGGATGGCGGACCGGGACCCACGTCGATACGAGTACCCGAACCTAGAAGTATCCTCGGATACTTTAAAAGTCGGGTACTCATAAGGGTCCTCGGTCCGGGTTAAGTTAACCTTCCGGTCTAGAAATACAAAACCATGTGTGACATCAGGCCTCCACCATGACTTGATAAACTCCTTGCGTCGGCCCCACTTGTTAGCGGCAGCGCCAATGCCAAAAACAACGTGACGAAGCTCGGTGGGATCGGGGCTCGGCTCGGGGGCCGAGGCGAGGAGAGTGAGGTGAGTAGAGAGAGGAGGAGGAGGGGAGTAGAGAGATTTGAGAGAGAAAAAAGAGAGGAAAAGGTAAAAAGAAAGACCGAGGAGGAGAGAGAAAGCGAGTTTAGGAAGAGAGGGATTGAAGGAGGGATCAGAGGTGTGGTCTTTTAGGTGTAGTTTCATGGTTTTGTTTTTGTTGGGAGGAGAGAGAAAGTGAAAGAGGCAAAATAAGGAGAATGAAGGAATGAAATGGTGGTGTTGTTTTTAAGAGAGAGAGAAAAGGCGCAGAAATCTAAGGAGATATGATTCAGGTGAGAAGTGTTTTTGAGTTCTGGAATGTGTTTTGTAACAGAATTTTGGATTGGTCGTAGGTCGTACGATTATTTTCAAAACTCCAACAAATTTAATTTGATATTCATTTCATTCTTAAACAAGAAATTACGGAGTAATTAAAGGTTTAAAGAAGATATACATCAATTAATTTTTCTTCTACTCTAGTATTTACTAGAGCAAACTTGTACATTAGCATTAGATATATTCATTTCGGAAAAGAACAAAAATCCCAACAAAGGGATAAAGTAGAAGTATGAAAAGTCGTATTCTTATAATTTGTTATCCTACAAGAGTATTTTTAATGCTTATATGTAACCCTAAGGGCTATGTATAATCACAAGAAATAACCAAATAACAACCCGTAAAGTTCAATTTAAGCAACCAAATGTAACATCCCAAGTCAAGATTCAAAAGAAATAACCAAATAACAACCCGTATATCAAACAGGCCAAAAGGCTAGTAGAAGTTCAATTTAAGCAACCAAATGTAACATCCCAAGTCAAAGAGCAACAAGCAACGGAGGAAGTAATTACTACGTACAAAATACCAAAATTAATTAGGGAATAAATTATTTATGTTCTGTTTGAAGTTTTTCAAGACACAAGCGTAATGCTTATTTATGTTTGTAATTGTAATTGTAATTAATTAGCCTTTAATCAATAAGGAGGATACGTATGGAATATGAATTTAGCACTCAACAAGTCTACTATTAACATACAGAGTACTCCGTATTATAAAACAACGAACAACTGAACTAGCATTGAAAAATCTAACACATGTGGCAATAAATTAAGCACCAAGTATTTATTAAATTTACATTAACATAATAAATTTTGTTATAACTTATTGTTGTTGTGAATTGGGCTTGAATAACTATCAACCTTAGCTAAACTTATTTTCTTTGAACATATCTTATACGGAGTATAAACTACCATTTAAAAAATTTATAATTTTTTTTTGTCAATGAGAATTTTCATCCTTAATATTTTATAAATTTTCACATATCATAAGGGTCTGTTCATATTTACTTATTTTTAGTTCAGTTCAGTTCAGCTCAGTTGTTAATTTTTTGTTTTAGATGTTTTAGCATATTACAACGACAATAATAATAATAATAATAATAATAATAATAATAATAATTATTATTATTATTATTATTATTATAATTATTTTAAATTATATTCGTCGTTCAAAATGGTCACATGTTTTTTTATAGTTGGACTCATTGACAAAATGAGAGTACTACACAACAATTACTAGCTTTCATAATCGGTTAGTTTTTCGTCTTCTTCTTCTTCATTAAGTTGCTCCATTACCTCAGCATTTCTCTGAATTGACTCCCATATCTGATCAGTTATTTGGTTTCGTACAATATCCATAGCTGCTTTTTTGTTATCATCGTACATAGTATGATCTTCTGTTGGTCCCACGACTTCAACTTGGTGCGTGAATGGAATCCCTAGTTCATGTAAACGAACAAAATTGTGTAGAGTACAACAAGCAACGATTGACTACAGTAAAATATTGAAAAATACTTTTTATTTTTATGTATATATTTAAAATATAATTCACAAAAATTTAATAATTTAAAATACAGAGTTATTTTTAAAACACTTTTATATTTTTCACAATCCACTATATATATTATCATTATTTTTCATAAACATTTTCATATATTTTTATGCATTTTAATTTTTCAGTTCAGTTCAGCTCCAATCAGTTTAGTTCAGTTCAGTTCCAATCAGTGCAGTTCAGTTCAGCTTAGTTCAGTAAATATGAACAGGCCATAAGATAGTCACAACACGACCCAACGTCCCAACCCCATATCTAATTATGTTGCGTCGTGTCATGCCTAATTTAAAGTCTGAGAGGTTGTTATATACATCGTGTACCGTACATTCATGTGTATTTTGTACTAATTTTGATGATTGTTTTTCATTAATCATACCTTAAATTAGTTGGGTGTACGATATACCCAAATATATATAACAAATTCTATTCAACTCTATATTCACTAATTTTACCTTACTTCGACAAAACCCACGCCACAAGTATAAAAACGTGCCATGTCATATCGTGTCGTTATTTTACCCTTAGCAAGGCCAGCTTGGCCCAATGCCGTCTTTACCATATCTACGAGTTGAGGAATACTTATCAGCCCAACAAATGACTTCGGACATCAAGCCTCTATTTTCTTCTTTCGCAAAACTTGATTGAAATACCAACACGCGTTCTGTGCTGCATATCAGCTTCATTTTGACTTGACGAACCAGAAAAAGAATGGCTCCCCACGACATCCTCCATAGATTGAATTCAAGCTTCTTTCAAGAATCCATCCATTCTTCTGAACCATCAAAACAGGTATCAATTATTCGTTATATGCTTGTTTGTACTTTGAAATTCCATCATCAAATCAAATGCAACGCTTAGGAAATTACCCAGATAATTTATCTTGATCTTTCCCTTTGTAATGCTGAAATTTCTCCATTATATTTGTTTGGGTGTTGCTTAATTTGAGTACCCTAATTGTTTATCTTTTTAATTTGCAGTTTTGAAGTGGGTAATTTTGGTGGGTTTTTGTTCAAGTTTTGTGTTATTGCTGGAATTGGTCAGAAACTAGATAATCTTGTGAACTTCGGTTAGTGATAATGGCGAGAATTTTGTCTTCGAAGTTGAAATCGCTTTCTGGGTCTGTTTTTTCTTCACCAAAATCAATGTCATCTTGGTTGAATTATGCTTATATGAATAATATGAGAACTGGTGATCATGTTCATGTTAGACCCATTGTTGGTTATATGGGTCACACTAATCACACTGATACTCATAGTAGTATGTTGAGTTTTGAGCCTAGAGCTTGTGCTCAGCTGTGTAAACCCAATTATGGCTCAGCATTTTCACCCACATTGTCGAGTTACCGGGTTTTGAGTAGCTTCCCTTTAACATCTATGTCGGGTTTCCTGTCATATTCGTCGTTCAGTGGTAGTAAAGGGGATAATAAGGGTCTTGATGTTCAGGAAGCTTCTAAAATTGGAGATGCAAGTGTTGGTGGAGGTGGTGATGGGACAGTTGGGAATTCTGAGTGGGTTGATAAACTTAAGGATGTATGGAAATCTGTTGTAGATGCAGCTAATGTCACTGCGCAAAAGGCTAAGGAAGCCTCTGATGAGTTAACTCCTTATGCGCAGCAAGTGTTGGATTCTCATCCATACCTGAATGATGTTTTGGTACCTGTTGGTGGTACAATCACTGCTGCTTTACTGGCATGGCTGGTCATGCCAAGTATTTTGAGGAAATTGCACAATTATACTAACCGAGGATCGGCTGCTTTGCTGTCTGGAACTGGAAGCATATTTGCTATTAGTGTACCATACGAGAAGAGTGCTTGGGGTGCATTAGAGAATCCACTACGCCTTCTGACAACTGTTATGGCGTTTTCTGAAATGTCAGTGGTATTGCTTACATATTATTCTTGGATTTTGTTTGTCACATCATGTTTACTCAGATAAATTAAACAATACAGCTTCTGTGGATATGCAGATGCCATTTGATTGCTCCAGATGCTGTTACATCCCAGCTGATTGGTCAGCTTTGGAAAGGGGCATTTGCCTTTTCATTTGTATGGTTTGTGCAACGATGGAAGACTAATTTGTTTGCCCGTGCCATGGCTTCTGAACAACTTCAACTGCTTGATCGTGAAAGGTTGCTTACTTTGGACAAAATTTCCTCTGTTGGCCTTATTGCCGTTGGAATTATGGCTTTAGCAGAAGCATCTGGTGTGGCTGTTCAGTCTATTATTACCGTTGGTGGTATTGGGGGTGAGTATTCCAAATTTCTAAACTATGTTCTATTCTTTTTTTACATGTTTTGTTCTGAACATTAACTTCCAGTGTCACAATATGAGCCTTATGATAGTATAGATTCATAAAGGGCAAAATGAAGGCACCTATTGCTCTTTTTAGATCATATGCCTGTATGTGACTTATTCACCATACTGCATGTTAGGCATCTCCATGCCAGATCTTGTTCAGACTGTAACATATTAATTCTCATTCAAATCGAGTTGTGATAATCACTTTGATAGAATTATCTTTTAGGGTGATGTGGATCTTTTTTTTTTGTGTCAATGGCATGGTGAGGAGAGGGCAGGACCAAAAACTGTGGGAGGAATACAGATGAAAGAAACATTCTCAAGCTCTTCTGTGCTCTATGCTTAATCAAGCCAGTTCTAGTGAGAAACACTTTAGTGACCTTGCTTTTCGCAATAGGTGGATGGCTCTTTTGGTTTAAGTTTCCACTTCAATGCCTTAAGAAGAAGAAATTATAGGATTATAAAATTCTTGGGCCATAGTTTCTGCAGCACTCTACCAAATTGCCGAAATCTTATCTTTGCCACTTAATAAAGTTTGCATTTATCTACTTGTTATCCTATCATCCTGTGCCTAACTTATCATAGTTTAAAGTCTGCCAATTATCATATTGGCCACTCAAGTGTGTTTGTGAATTAATTTTTCTTCTGTTCTTCTCTGTCCAGGAGTGGCTACTGCTTTTGCATCAAAGGACATCCTTGGTAATGTGCTTAGTGGCTTGTCTATCCAGTTCTCAAAGCCATTTTCAATTAGAGATACCATTAAGTTATGCTGCCTAATCTCTCTTTCAGTTTATTAGTAGCAAAATAAAACTTCTTGTCTGATCATTACCCATCCCCTGGTTTTAGCAATGCCTTTTAGTTATGTTAATGGGTCCTGCATATGTTTTTGATGTGACTGCATTGATTTTACCCCCTTCTGTTTGCTGAAAGTAGTTCATCAAAGTTCAGGGTCTTTGTTATGTGGTTTGAAGGGTAGCATGCTGTTGGTTATGGCCCCTTTTTCTTCAGTTTAATAGCCTGCGTTTGGTACGCAAACTGGTATGGGGGTTGGAATCAGGAATGAAACCATAGTGGTATGGGTTTGGAACTTGATTCTTAATACCGTATGTTTGGTATGCTTATGGAATGCAATATTTTCTTTTATTTGATACCTAAAAGTATGGGAATGAGCCAAACCCACCTCCCCCCCAAGGTTTCTAAACCCCATACCTTGGGGGTTTGAAACTCTTAAAATCATAAAACAAACATAAGGTATGGGTTTAAACCATTCTAAACCCATACCTTATAACTTAATTATGTGAACCAAACGCCCCCTTGTTGGGTTTATTCAGCTGTAGACCTGTAATCATTTTTTCCCCTGTTAATTTCTCCTTTTGTGAGTGGGTTTCTTATGTAGCTTGGTTTATTTATGTCTCCCTCATGGCCTCATCTGTGGTTTTTAATTTTTTGCAGGCTGGATCTATAGAAGGTCAAGTTGTGGAGATGGGTTTGACTACTACATCATTATTGAATGTTGAAAAGTTTCCAGTAATAGTTCCGAATTCTATTTTTTCCAACCAGGTGAAAGCTTTTCTGCCTCTAAGCTCTATGCCTCTATAGCTCTTTCAAAAATTTACAGTCACTTTTTTCTTGACTGCTAGTTTGCATTAGTGAATCATTCTTGCAGTTTGCATTAGTGAATCATTCTTGCTCCTCTGCAGTTTGAATTTTTTAATTTACCCTTGGGGAACTAAGTGCATTTTACTGATTGTCCCATCAACATCTTAATTGCGCTTAATTTTATTATACAGATCCTGAATATAAATTGATTATTATCATGGATCTTGATTGCAATGGTACTTGTATATGTTTTGTTTACTTTGGGTCATTGTCACATTTGGCAGGTCATTGTGAACAAGTCTCGAGCTGGGTGGCGTGCTTTTATCAGTAAAATCCCTCTGCAGTTCAGTAATATGGAAAAAATTCCCCAGGTTTCAGCTGACATAAAGTCAATGCTAGATTCATATCCAAAAGTTTTCTTGGAACGTGAGGCTCCTTACTGCTACCTTTCTCGCATTGAGAATTCGTATGCTGAACTGACTCTTGGATGCAATCTCCAACAGCTGGTACTTTCCCTGTGCACTAATTTGCATACACTTTTCTACAGAAAATATAATTTATATTTAAGATTTACGTTAATATTACCTAACCAATAGAGCATCTGGTGGTTGTGAAGTTGTGATCATTGAAGCTGGCGGAATTGTTGCTAAAAATGTTTCTAATTTACTTTTAGCAAAAGGTTTATACGGCGTCTCTTGAGTACTATAGTTAAAATTATCAGGTTTCTGCTCCTGTTATTGCCAGTATAGCAAAAATTTGTTTTACGTATTCCAATACACGCTTTTGATTTCTTGGTCCATTGGATTTACTTTTTGTTTATTAAGGTTCATATTATGTTAAGACATAGATCCAATGACTGATAAGTTTGAGTTCTTTAGTGCTTGAAATTTATGACAGTTTATTACATTCACCTAGGCTTATACATCATCATAGTACATGTTCGGGGTGATGGCTTCTTGTAATGGCAAGGGTTTCATTTTAGTTTCTCTCCTATACATTATTTGATTATTTCCTAGATAGACATTTCTTACTTTTCTTCTCTGCAGGTGTTTCTTCCTTGTTTGTCAGATTTGAATTGATATATATTTACCTTTTTCTGGTGATTGTAGAGCAAAGCAGAGAGGTATTCCACGGAACAAGATATCCTGTTAAAGTGCATCCAGATCATTCAGCAGCACGGTGTTTTGTTGGGCACTACACAGCAAGAACTGATAAGCCAGTGATTTTTTTCAGATTGAAACATCCAGCACGTAGGTTTGCCCATCTGACCTTATTAGTCCCCAGTTCAGGCATTAAACTTGATACTTGAACTTCAAACTATGGTCCCTTTTTTTCATCTTCATATATACTGTGCTCATTGATATCCGTAAGATATTATTAGCCATGTTCATGTCCTAGCTGGTTTGAGTTAGACTAACATACTATCTAGCATTAGTCTTGACTGTCTGAAATTCCCAATACTAAAATACTCCTTGGACATTTGAAAATAGTATGGAGAGATTATCTTTTTACAAGCAATGCTAAAGACTGCAAATACTCGTTTTCCTAGCTAAATGTTCAGTATTAAACCTGTTCAGGAAAAGCCTATTTCTTACAATTCGTATTTCAGCTGTCCTTTTATTTTTTCTATTACTAATAAAGTTGTGGTATTTTGGATGATGGTAGTTCGTTCTCTACTCGTCTTCACCATCAAAGACATACAAGGCATGACACACCAAAGGTGATTACTATAACTTCTCTTGTTCCAGCTGTACGAGTCAGGGTGGAATTCAACGCTAGAAAATTTCCAAATTCATGAAGGAGCAAATCTATGTTAAGTACGTTACACTGCTGCTTCATATTACAGAATACTGTTCAAAAATTAGGAAAATTTTGACTCTTGTTAGAAATTTTGGTTGTATGTTATCATCATAGAAACTGCATCAGTTTGTTAATACTTCGTAGTTGGTTTAAATCAAAGAATGGTGGATTGTGGAGGCCTTTGTGCTATCTCAGAATGTAGATTGGAATTTCATCTTTATTTCTATTTTAATGATCCTCTTCTCCCATGACCCCCCCTCCCCCCAAATACAAGTTTTGGTTGAGAAATTTTACTTTATTTTTTACTAGACTTCAATAGCTACCCCTAAAAAAAGCTAATCGTCGACTAGAAAGTATACTAATGTAGTCAAGTGCTGAAACAACAGTTTCCAATTCTTATGACAGTGTACATAGGTGGCATTATAAGAAATTAGGATTTATTCATTGTTGGTTACATAGTACTCCTGTCATCTTTGAATATCAGGCCACATTTGGTTTGGGGTCAATTTTAAACTTAAAGTCTCTATTAGTTTGATATAGTCTTGTTTGGAAATTTTAGTCAGGAGTATCAATATAAAGCAATATAGGAAAGTTTATATTTTGACTGGTTACAGTTGGATAGTGACTTATTATGTATGCAGGAATTACAATCGATTTCTGTCCTAAATAATACTCCCTCCGTCCCTTAATACAATGCCTCTTTTGAGTATTTATTCCTCACATAGTAAAGAGAAAGAGGCATTGTATTAAGGGACGGAGGGAGTAAGGACTAATGGAGAAATGATAATTTTCATAGAGTCGATTGATAGGCAAGAACAGTTCTTGATCTCTTGGAGGTCAATCAGATTAGTAAAGTCGTTTTCTTTCTGAAAAGAATACACTCTACTTGGTAGAATGGAAATTCTTACAGCATCAAACTGCTTAATATAATTCTGAAATTTTGCTGGTGAAACTAGGGTGATATCCACCACACTACCTAGACTTTGTTGTGGAGACAAGTTTGAGCAACTGAACTAAAACAGAAGTTACAGAACAAAGATTAAAAAACTGACATAGGCAAAATCAAAGATGGTTGATCATTCCTTATATTTCATGAGCCTCTTGACGCATCTTGAGAGAGAAAGGTAAGAAGAGTCATCAACCTCTGATTTTGCTATAGGGCGAAATGCCCAGAACGGACCTGACCCGACAGGGTGTCCAAACTGACTAAGGTAGGGATGGCCATTGAACATCTGGATATGCGTTTGAGCCAGAGCAACCAAGGCCTCAGTGTGTGGATTTGGGTTGGTGACTGTAGTGGTGAGGCGGAGAGCAAAGGGAAAGAGGGCTCTCTTATCAGCTGAGTGGCAAGGGGTGATCATCTTGGTAGCAGGGGGCTGCATAACACAGACATACTGGTTGGCATTTACTCCATGGGGGGTGCAGTCGGCCAGAGTCCCTGAACCAGTGAAGTATTTTGCCACGGTTGCAGCAACAGCCTTGACTTGATGAAACCAAGCCATGGAATTATTCATGTGCAAAAAGTTGGCTATAGGACGAAGATTATCGTTAGCATGAGTGGTGGGAAAGTCGAAGTTATGATAGCTATCAGCAAATGACTTGTTCAGACTCTTGTCAGCTTCACAGGGATACTGCAGACCTGGGGAGCAAAGAGCATATTTCTCAAAATCAGACCATTCATTGAGAGGTGGAAAACTATAGTATCCAAAAACCTTAGTTTGGTTTCCGGCTTCCTGAACGGGGATGTGCTTTCCCAGAGAAGGAATCATCTGGGGGTCACCGTTAATTAGGAGGTTCAGATCCTCCAGAAGAGCGATAATCCCAGGTATGTTGGGGAGAAAGAAGGCGCTGTTACTGCTGCTGGTGCAGGTGATCCCACGCATAAAGGAGTTACGGCGTTTGGGGCCAGCACGAGATGGAATACTGGGGTAGACCAGACCATAACTATTTTTCATGATTTGTATCTCCGAAGAGCAGAGAGTTTTGAAATGAGGAAGACGGGGAGCTGCCACTGGAAGAGATTCCAGGGGGTGGCGGTCCAGAAAATGCATCAAGAATTGGTGCTGCTCAGAGCTACAAGTAAAAAGAGGATAAAGATGAGTTTATACTCAGTACGGAATACTTTGTAATTCGTATGATAAGTATTTCCAACTTATGAGTAGCAAAGAAGAAAAGGGGTGTTTGGAAATTTGGATAGTCAAGCATTGGAAACACATGCATAATAATGCATTAGAAGCTCAGCAACCAACTATATACTTAACAATAACTTCACAAGTATAGTTATTATAATGTAATTGGGACAGACTGTTGTCTTTCTTGTAATGCCTCTTGGCTTCCTTATTCCAAAAATTACCCAAAAAAATAATAATAATCGTAAGTACCGGTAATTAGATGTTTGTATTCTTATTGTGATCAAACTTTGATAATTTATTTTTGTCGAAATATATCTAATACTACCTTCATTAAATACACAAACTTTTAAATAAAACGGATGTTCAGTAAATTACTAAACATCCGTTATAAGGTGACAATAAAATGTGCAAAAGTTACACTAAAACGCACAAAAGTTACCGTGACATATATAAGAGTTATTTATGCTTTATTGATAAATTTGACAAAAGTGACACTAAATTTGACAAAAGTGACTAAATCTGACAAAAGTGTACCCGATGTACAGTAAATTACTGAAAACCGAGTGTATACAAAAGTTTTCCAATGAAATATCAATTGCAACTTTGAGTATTATTTGTGTGATATAAAATATTCTAAAATTACAACTACTCCTATTTTACAATCAACGTGATTATAAGACTTTTAGTCTGCTTCAATGAAATGAGCGTAATTAGTCTCTTGTGTTTAGAATAAAAGCATCAACGTCTGGGTGGTGTAGTCGGTTATCACGCTAGTCTCACACACTAGAGGTCCCCGGTTCGAACCCGGGCTCAGACATCTTTTTTAAGAAGATTTTTTTGCCTCTCTTGATTTGCTGGTATACTACACAGTAATTGACTACTGATTTTCATTGTTATCGGACGTAGAGAGGACAGCAAAATAAGAGGAGGATTCTGGAAATGCAAAGTGACATACAGTTGACAATATCGAGCTTATAGGATACTCATATGGAAAAATGTGAGATGATATTAATGATACATAGACCTCATACAATCTAGAGTCAAATATTATGTAATAGCGCATTTTGAATCAATTCAATACAACAAGATGCTACATCATCCAACAAGACAGAAAAAAAAAATCCACATTCCTAAGGTAATAAGGTATAAAGCAATCGTCTTTAATAGTGAAAGACGGAAAGTGGTATATAATCTGGCAATATACAGGAGAATCGTGCTGTATGTACATGCTTTTTTCCGTGGCATTCAAAGGAATCTCCATAGATTTTATGGTAAGCTGTGATTTACCACAAAATCTACTATTATAAGCAATTTACATTCTGCTATTCTTCAGAACAAAGAGGGCATTATACCACTGTTTATCACCGTGTCACGTTTCACTTTCATCGTCTCTTGAAAGAAAGTCACTTCTGGTACAACAATTAACGAATGAGGGGGTCTGGATTGAATGACACAGACTCCCTCCAAATGAGCTCTTTGATGTTCTCTTCAGTGAAAGATGGCTGCTCAAAATCAAAACTGAATGGCTGGGGACAAACAGGTTCCTCGTTGATGTCGTGTAGAGGGGCAAGGTATGGATGGCAAAGTGCCTCGTGAACTGAACAAAATCAGAGAAAAAGCATTAAATTGGTATTCAACAAATACTGGTATGAATTCAAAGACAAGAGCTAAACTAAGCCAAGCTGCCTCAAGAAGGCCTAACCAGGAAACAGGCCATACTAATTTTTCTCATCCTACCCTCCCTTTGAAGCGAAAGTGCGAAACTAACCACTCCTACATCAGCCTTCTCTACAGTCTGCCAGCTTGTGATCTGTCTTCCCTCACTTTTTCTTCCTTTCTCTCTCAATTTGTCTGTCTTTTTGACTGATTAATAACGCAAGCCATTAACCAATTTCCAAGTTCTACTCAACCTCCCTTTCCTAATCTCTTGCACATGCACACTCCATCCTGCCTTTTCCTTCCCGATCCCATGGCAAAACCCAAGTAAACCTAACCTGCACCTTAAACCTCAGCTAAACCTGACAAGGCTCAAGCTCAACTCAACTCGAATAAGCCTCTAGCTTACAAGTCACTGAGCAATCCAAATCATTTTTTCTCCAACGAATAGTTATATATTTTATTCACAATGATAATTTTCTTAAATCATGATACCTGTAATACGCTTGCTGGGATCAAAGACTAGCATTTTTTCCAGCAAATCAATAGCCAGCGGAGAAGCATTTGGAAATTTAACAGAGAATTGTTGCCTTGGATATTGAGGAAGCTGCCTAACATATCTTTTAGCATTGTCACTGTGTAGGAATTCTATACTGGAGTCATCAGGTGAACCTATGAGCTGCCAAGAGACAAAAGAGCCATTACAAATTTGTCAAGACTTTCCAAATTGTGACAATTCAGGGACTTCAGACAATCAAGACCACAAAGGAGAATAAATGGGGGATACTTGAATAAGCAAATAACAAAGTGACATTTATTTGATAAGATAAATTACTATATGATGGTCCTTAAATCATCTAATAACAATTTTTTAACCATGGATTAGTATGGACTAAAACAAACCTCTCACACTGTTAATTCAGTAGGAGTATATGGTATGCGGTGGAACACACCGCTAACTAGTAAATCAAGGGGGGCATTGATGCAGCCTCTTTGCAATCATTGGGATACAGCCCCTCGGTTTTTTTAAAGGTATGGCTGCAGATATAAGTCAGTACTCTCAGTGCACCAACCTAGGTGGGAGCTTTGTTGAAGACATTGGCATAACGGGTAGAATGATATGGTGAATTGACTAACAAAATAACATTATTATACAGTAATGGGTTATAACACCAGACCAACAGGACAACTGAGGAAAACTATAATTTTAACAAAACTTCTTTGCCAACCGATCTCAGTACATGATAAGCATGTATAAACATAGAATTTACAGGAGTTCTCATCTTTTCCTGCCAATTTTCAGTCAAAAATCCACCTATCCAGACAATATCCTGTTTGATGAGGCTACATTTATCTTGGATTCACAAGAGAAATATGTTTGAAATCTCACAAGTCAGACTAGTACTACAGTTTTTCCGGGGGTTACAAGCAATTACTGTACTGTATCCTACTAGGCTGTCATTGAGTAGAATGAGAAAAAAAAAAAAAAAAGTAGTGAGACTGTTAGCAGTGTAGTCAAGGGATAAAGATGACCCAAAAAAAAAGTTCTCCGACTTCATGCTAATAGAAGAAATTACATTCTTATGACGGGCAATATCAATATTTTAAACATAAAAACCTACCTCAGTAACAAGTTTCAGCTGATGAACATAATCTCTTCCGGGAAAAAGGGGTTCTCTGGTCATGATTTCCCCAAGTATACATCCAACAGACCAAATATCAATTGCAGCAGTGTACTCGGAACAGTTTAGAAGCAATTCTGGAGCTCGATACCACCGAGTGACAACATACTCGGTCATGAAATCGGTTTCTGAAGTTGTTCTTGCAAGTCCAAAGTCTCCAATCTTAAGGTCACAGTTTGCATTCATTAGCAAATTGCTAGGTTTCAGATCACGGTGCAGCACACCAGCCGAGTGAATGTACTTCAAGCCTCGTAAAATTTGATAGAGAAAATACTGTGAAAAAATTTGACCATCAATCATTTGTTAGGCACCAAATTCAAAGTAGCAAGCATGCAGGAAAAGACGACTAAAAGATGAGCAAAAGGATATATTATGACCCTCAATCATTTCTATCAAAGGATACAGAAAAAGGCCAAGAAAAAAACAAGCCAATGCTTTTCAAACATCAAGCTTTTGTTGGCTTTAATCTTTTCACTTAGAATAATACAGACAAAACAGCCTTTCAACTAGAAAGTATTTTAAGCTAAGACAGCCAAACTCCACATTTTCCTCTTATGAGAGACATGGGAGACTGGGAGTGAAATTATATTATTCATCAACAAAGTTAAAGCTAGACACAAGCGTTCAACTTTAGATTGATTATTGACTAAGAAAGGTTTTGTTCATTAAACTAATAATTTCAAAAACATCTATAACTTCATACAAACATACCCGACAATGATCATCTGTTAACTGTTGGTTGGATCGTATTATTTGGTGAAGATCAGTATCCATCAGTTCATGAACCATGTATACATCATTGAAGTTCTCTTTCTGTGGAGGTCGTATTATGTCCCGGATGGAGATAACCTGTGCTACGACGAAAAGTAACCGATTAGAAGATAACATTGAAACTCACAACTAATAAAATCTCCTACAATCAATAGGAGTCATAAACTCCTCAACAAAAAATAAAATAATAAATATACTTAAATAAAAAGTAGAATCATATAACAATGCACATGAGTTCAAATTCTAAATGTCATATTGATTATCTTCTTTTAGATGATTTAAAGTACTTGTTTGAAATGCTTCGGTGTAGTGGGGTTTCAAATCAATGCAGTAAAGTCTATGCAAAAAGAATCTAAACAATATGTTTTTGCAATAAGAGATTCCAACTCATAATATTGATGCATGGCCTTTGAGTTTTGGAGCAAAGAAAACTGAAAAGTGAAATGTTTATGTTTGGTAAGTTGCAACAAGCAAGAAAATGTGCTACCTATACCATCAAAATTTCATGGTTATGAAAAAGGGATAATAATATTAATATATATACCTTAAAATCACCATTACAAAACACTGAATAATAAAACTTACATTGTCATGATTCATGTGACGAAGAAGTTTGATTTCACGGAGTATTCTTTTGGCATCAATTCTGTTATGAAATGCATTGCTGACCTTCTTGATTGCAACTTCTTCCTGTGTTTCTGAATTGACAGCAGCACTGAGAAAATGAAAGAATCAATTTGACCATCATTGATTAGTAAACAACTACAAACACATCTGTAGTAGCAATAGGCTAGCTTAAGTATCAAAAGCACAGAAGCTCAATAATATAAGCAAGCAAAAGCAAGAGTAAAGCCTAAGAGACCACTAAATCATGATGGTATCTGATTCTTATAAACACATAAGATCAAATGCAAAGCAACTCCTGCGTAGTTTATCAGTAGAGTCTTTAACAACAAACAGCAGTTGATGGTGTAAACTTATGTGAAAATTAAGAGGTTTTACTTAGCATTCTTTGGAATGTCCAGTCTTTAACAGCCAAATACAAAGTACGGAGTAATAACTACAAGAAAAAAAAAACCTTGAATCTACAAAATCATATACTTAATACAACTGAAACCTGAGATACGACGATGAATACAGAAAGTTACAATTTTAGGCTGTATTTTCCCACTTAATCTACTTTTTTTTTCCATTTTCCTTTGAGTGATTAATATAAACTGATTTCAAAATATAAATTAGTTGAGTTGAAAAGCTTTTTCATAGAGAAGAGAATATTTTCTTTAGTCAAAGAAAAAATGCACATTTTCCTTCAACTCCTCAATTCAACATCTTCCTGACTTCCTCCTCTCCTCCCCTACATTTCTTCCCCATCTTCTCGGAACCACCCTTCTTCCTATAATTTCCTCTCTAACCTATCTAATAAAGAACTAACAAAAGGAAATTGATAAAAAGAAAAATCTCCACAAATATTAAATTTCTACAAAAAATTTAAGTTATGCTCAAGATGTTTTCTTTTAAACTAACACAGCCTACTCAATGTATCTCCCACCAAACAAAACATAGTCAAAATAGTCACATACTTCGTACTACAATATTCACAATGCATATGCGGATATGGCAACTAGCTTCGTTACTCAAGTCCCATGACTATTGAGGCGGATCAAATCCCGTCTACATCATTGCCCTTTTAAGAATTATATTCATTACAATTCATATAGTACCTCATTTCAATATCATCTACTAATTGATCAAACAGATCAAGCTTATAATCAATGATCACTCGCTTATTTTTTATACTTCATAATACAAAACACCCACAAAATTCAACTAACAACAACGCCTTAGTCCCAAAATGATTTGGGTTCGGCTAACATCAATCGTCATAAGTAACTGGACTCACAAAATTCAACTAACATTTAACAAAATATTAGGTATAATTAGAATAAAATCAGAAAAACGAGAAGAAAACTAACCAGACAATACCATAAGCGCCACGACCAACAGGGCGAAGAGGAGGAACATACTTACTAGAAACTTCGAAAACGTTTCCGTACAGATTGTACTGTACATACCTTCCTCCATGAGTGGGTGTTCCTCTCAAGTTCTGCTCCATTTTGATGGGGTTTTTAAGCTATTTAGAGGAGAGAGAAAGAAAGTTTGATGGGAGTTTTAGATAATTGGAGGAGAGAGAGAGAGAGAGAGATAATTTGATGGGTTTTCAGAGGAATTAATAGAGAGAGTGAAATGGGTGTTGTTGGGTGATGGTGGAAGGTTGACATTTCTAAAGAGAATAGGAGACCATTATATTACTTATTACTTGGAGAAGGTGACAGGAAGAGTCATTAACTCACTATGGTCAAAGACATATTCTTGTACTCTAACTATTACTCTTTTCTTAAGGTTTATTTTCATTGACTGAATTCAGTTGAATTGAACTGAATTGAAATGAATATTTTATAAGAGAAGGAAATTAGGAGTTGAACTGAGCTGAACTGCTGAATTTCAACGTATAAGAACAGACCCTTAGGTGTAAATGAACGCGGCTCATTTATTAAACGAGTTGATAAATAAGTAAGTGTTTTACGAACGAGTTTAATAATATATGAGCTTATATAATTAATGTGTTTTGTATTTTTAATACTATTTAAAAATCTTTAACTATACACTTAGGAATTAAATTAATAATTGTGAATAAATCAATAATTTAAGAACATAAATAAAAGAGTAGATCGTGAACATAAATATATGAGTTGTTCATAATCTTATTTAAACGCGTATATCTATGTTCGTGTTCAACCTCATTTATTGAACGAGTTTCTCTATTTTCAACGTCAGCTCATTTGTTAAATAAATGAACATAAACGAGTTTCAACTGAGCTCGAACCCGAGTAATTTATTGACCAACACGGTTCGTTTAATTTATTGATCAACTCGGTTCATTTACACCCTAACTAGTTTTTCCATCTCAAGATGATTGTTCAATATAAGTAAATTTACTTTTGTAAAAACTTGGCTGAATTAATGTGAGGTTCGTGTTTAATCTTTTGACAAGCTCTTACAAATTTATTTATGTCCGTCTTTCTCTTTCAAAACGTTTTAGTTAAACCAAAGGAGAACTAGACAATTTTAGTAAAACCAAAGGAGTACATTTTTGTCAATTTTTAAATATATATATTTATAATTTTATATTTTATAATGTCGTGTGGCCGCGTGGGAAAACCTCGTTGACAACGCGTGAAATAGAGTAGAAATTTTGTATTCATAGGATGACTTTGAATGAATGCATAAATGTCACAGTTTTCTAACCCAAACTTTTTTTTTTTTTTTGAGGACAATTTCTAACCCAAACTTGATACATCCATACTCATAAAACGAGTTACAAAAAGGAGTTACTTTCAACTTTTGAAGAGTTGGTTAGAACTAGAATGATGATTGATGACTAATACTACTCATTAAACAAAGGGTTAAATTGATCAGGAATTAATTGATAGTTTTATTATAAGAGGAAAATTATGTCTACTTTTGGAGTATTTATTCCAATGTATTACTACTTACCTTAAAAACAAATGTTATCATACTATCATGTAGAGCTGTCAATTCGGATAAACAGGTCGGGTTTGAGTTGGGTAAGAGTGGGTTGGGTCAACTCGGGTCTGGTCAATTCGCATTAATTCCATAACCTATGCGGGTTGGGTTTGGGTTGAGTCATGCTTTAGTCAAGTCACATCGGGTCATACTTCTTATTGGGTTTGGGTCGGGTTTAGGTCGGGTTAATAACAGGTTGTGTTACATTCGCGTCGGATGAACAATAGCTCGGGTTCAATTCGGGTTTTCACGGGTTAAAACGGGTTATGGTAATTCTCGGGTTCGAGTCGAGTTCGGTTCAAGTCAATAATTTGCGGGTTAGAATAAGGTCGGGTCATTCTCGGGTTTGAGTCGGATTCGGTTCAAGTCAATAATTTGCGGATTATAATCAGGTCGGGGCATTTTCAAGTAGAGTCATTCTTGGGTTCAAGTCGGATTCAGTTCAAGTCAATAATTTGCGGGTTATACCCAGGTTGGCTCAATTCCAAGTCGGGTCATTCTCGAATTCAAGTCGGGTTATGTACAAGTCAATAATTTGCAGATTACAATCAGGTCGGGTCATTTCCAAGTCAGTTCATATTCGGGTTCAACTAACTATAAATAGATAATTATCATTTTTATCAATCTAATTATTTCCTTTGACTACTAACTATATGACAATATACTAGGGAACTATAGTCTATACTTTAGGAAGATAATTATCTCCTTTCACCATACAACAAATGTATACTATATTTAACTCTTAAATTTGAAGATGATGCTCCTTTCTTTTGTTGGCCTGGACCGATTTGATCTCCCCAGACAAAATGTTTTGATCAACAATAATAAGGTTGTATAAATTACATTTAAGGTGATTTAAAATAGGGTCAATAACAATTTGGGTTGAATATATGTCGGGTCAATAACAAGTCGTGTTAATTTGTAAACCGGTAAATTGGTCGTTTAAAGGCAAATTGGATGGTTCCACCCACCCAATTGGACTACCGGAGGGTATTAAGGACCATGATAAACATTTCGGTAATTTTATTTTCGGGTGAAAAAGGTCAAAAAAATTCCAAAATTGAAGGCTAATATCCACACTTTTTGAGAAATTTTACAGGTTTCGAGGCCCAGTGTCGAAAAAAATTTAAATTTTAGGTTATATATCTCGGGGTCATGTAATGACGTCTGGAACCATATGATGTCATAAATGTTCGTGGTAGGCTTGATTTAATGAAATCGGTGTAATATTGTAAACCAGTAAATTGGCCTTTTAAAGGCAAATTGGATGGTTCTACCCACCGAATTGAACTCCCAGAGGATATTAGTGACCAAGGTAAAACTTTTGGCAATTTTTATTTCCAAGCGAAAAAAAGTCAAAAAAATTCCAAAATTGAAGGCTAATATCCACGCTTTTTGAGAAATTTTAGAGATTTCAAGGCTCGGAGTCGAAAAGCCTCAAAAATTTAAGGGATACATCTCGGGGTCATGTAATTCCGTTTGGAACCATATAGGATCATTATATGTTGTCATAAATGTTCGTGGTAGGCTTGATTTAATAAAATCGGTGTAAGTTGTAAACCGGTAAATTGGTCGTTTAAAGGCAAATTGGATGGTTCCACCCACCCAATTGGACTCTCGGAGGGTATTAGTGACTATGGTTAACATTATGGCAATTTTTATTTCCGGGCAAAAAAAAAGTCGAAAATTTCCAAAATTGAAGGCTAATATCCAAGCTTTTTGAGAAATTTTAGAGGTTTCGAGACCCGGTTTCGAAAAGTCTTGAAATTATAGGGGATACATCTCTGGGTCATGTAATGCCATTTGGAATCATATATAATCATTATATGCTGTCATAAATGTTCGTGGTAGGCTTAAGTTAATGAATTAGTGCACGCAAGTTGTAAACCGGTAAATTGGTCGTTTAAAGGCAAATTGGTTGGTTCAACCTACCCTATTGGACTCCAGGAGGGTATTAGAGAACATGGTAAACATTTCGAAAATTTTTATTTTCGGGTGAAACGAAGTCTAAAAATTCCAAAATTAAAGGCTAATATTCACACTTTTTGAAAAATTTTGGAGGTTTCGGGGCCCGGTGTCGAAGAGCCTCGCAAATTTAAGGGATACATCTCAAGTTCATGTAATTCCGTTTGAACCATATAAGATCATTATATATTGTCATAAATGTTTGTGGTAGGCTTGAGTTAATGAAAATGGTACAAGTTGTATACTGGTAACTTGGAAGTTTAAAGGAAAATTGAATGGTTCCATCCACCCAATTGGAATCCCGGAAAGTATTAAGGACCATGGTAAATAATTTGGCAATTTTTATATCCAGGCGAAAATAAGTCAAATTACAAAATTGAAGGCTAATATCAACACATTTTGAGATATTTTGGAGGTTACAGGGCCCGGTGTCGAAAAGCCTCAAAAATTTAAGGGATACATCTCGGGGTCATGTAATGCCATATGGAACCATATATGATCATTATATGTTGTCATAAATGTTCGTGTAGGCTTGAGTTAATGAAATTGGTACAAGTTGTATACCGGTAAATTGGCCGTTTAAAGACAAATTGGATGGTTCCATCCACCCAATTGGACTTCTGAAGGGTATTAGGGACCATGGTAAATAATTCAGTAATTTTTTTTTTCCGGGCGAAAAAAAGTCAAAAATTCCAAAATTGAAGGCTAATATCCACACTTTTTTAGAAACTTTGGATTTTTCGGGACTCGGTGTCAAAAAGCCTTTAAATTTTAGGGGATATATCTCGGGGTCATATAATGACTTTTGGAACCATATATGATCATTATATGTTGTCATAAATATTCGTGGAAGGCTTGATTAAATGAAATCGGTGTAAGTTGTAAACCGGTGAATTGGCCGTTTAAAGGCTAATTGGATGGTGTCACCCACCGAATTGGACTCCCGGAGGTTATTAATGACCATGGTAAAAATTTTGGCAATTTTTATTTTCGGGCAAAAAAAAGTCAAAAAATTCCAAAATTGAAGGCTAGCTAATATCCATGCCTTTTGAGAAATTTTGGAGATTTCAAGACCCGGTGTCGAAAAGCCTCAAAAAGTAGAGGGATACATCTCGGGGTCATATAATGACTATTGGAACCATATATGATCATTATATGTTGTCATAAATGTTCGTGGTAGGCATGATTTAATGAAATCGGTGTAAGTTGTAAACCAGTAAATTGGTCGTTCAAAGGCAAATTGGATGATTCCACCCACCGAATTGGACTCCCGGAGGGTATTAGTGACCATGGTAAAAATTTTGGTAATTTTTATTTTCGGGCGAAAAAAAGTCAAAAAAATTCCAAAATTGAAGGCTAATATCCACGCTTTTTGATAAATTTTGGAGATTTCAAGGCCCGGTGTCGAAAAGCCTCGAAAATAGAGGGATACATCTCGGGGTCATGTAATGCAGTTTGGAACCATATAAGATCATTATATGTTGTCGTAAATGTTCGTGGTAGGCTTGAGTTAATGAAAATGGTACAAGTTGTATACCGGTAACTTGGAAGTTTAAAAGAAAATTGAATGGTTCCATCCACCCAATTGGACTCCCGGAAAGTATTAAGGACCATGGTAAATAATTCGGCAATTTTTATATCCAGGCAAAAATAAGTCAAATTACAAAATTGAAGGCTAATATCCACACATTTTGAGATATTTTGGAGGTTACGGGTCCCGGTATCGAAAAGCCT